GAGCCAGTATTTGAGAAAAGAATTTGGCCAACACTGTTTATAGAGTTGCTGGGTCTGATTCTCCTCACACCAGTTTAAAACCATGGACTTTAATAGAGTTATTCTTGATTGAAACCAGCATAAGCAAGAGGAGAATCAGGCCTGTTATACTTTTTTTTTCCTTACAGAATCATATTCCTGAGGGGCACAATGTGGATTTAATTTATTTCTTGTTTGTCAGGGGGATCTTCTCTCTCCCTTCTTTCTCAAACAAGGGTGTGTATCCAAAAATTTCACAGAGGATTTGGGGCTATCTTCTTCTATATCAAATGTCAACCTCTTTTAGCATATGAAATCTATGTTCTCGAATAGATTCAGCAAATTAAGGCCCTGATCCTGCAATGAGCTCTGTACAGCTGAAGATCTGAAGGCCCTGAAATCATGAGGCAAGGAATGAACCATGCAGATCTCATTGTAGGCCCTAAATGAACAGTCCCAAATACATGATCAAGAAAACAATATGGAATTTTAAAAGTAGCATTTGCAATATAGTCGACATTAACACTTCCTCTCTTCTATCCAGCATAAAATCCAGTAGTAGAAGTTGACACACCTTCAAAACATCTGTTCATCACAATTTAGACAGTGCAAAATACCTGTTAGTTGTGTTAGAATGAAAGAATACATTGTAGAGTTTATAAAGAGGAGTCCTATTTCACATAGTGCCCACAAAGAATCTGTAACCATCATTATACAAGTGTCTTGGACATTTTTTTAAAGTGTATTTTTCAGTTCAGTGCTGTATTTTAATAGGTTACCATATTTTAGAAAATAAAAGCATCAGGTTATCTTGATGTCCATTTCTCAATTCCCACAGTAATGTCACCTCAGATATTGGTTGTGTGCAGGGGGGTGATCAATTAATATAGGGTCTCTGTAATAGTAATATAGGTGAAGAGCTATGTAATTAATGCAACAGAATCTTGGTTGCTGATAGGCTGTACCAGAGGTGTGTGTGTGGGGGGGGAGTTGTGTGTGGTTTGTTTGTTTTTTTGCTTGCTAGTTCGACAAGCATTTGGCTTTTTTATCGGTGCCATTTATTAAACATGAGACATCAGTTTTCTAGGAATCCTTATCCCCTTAAATTTTCCCTATTTTTTTGGGAATGTTCTTGGTATTTTTTTATCTATAGTTTTGAAAAGTAAGGTCCTATTAAAAATGTCTTATAGGATGTGTAAAGTTATTGCCTGTGACAGGAGTTATCTAAAGTACTACGATTATTGTTTCCCTTGTGTTAAAAATTTGGGTCCATTTCTTTCATTAATGGCCTTTAAATTTGTCCTTGCAATTTTGTCTATATGATAATTTATGCCGGCTACAGAGACAGTGTGTGTGCTAAAACAGCATTCAGACACTGCTGAGTGCGGGGTTATAGAATAGAATGATCTATTTTGCACATAATTGTGGTCACATATTTAAAGCCCATTTTCATTTTTAGCCTGTGGTGTTTCCAATGCTTATCTCCACGTTTTGTTTTCTTTTTATTTTATTTCTATAGGCTACCTTTTAATACATCTAATCTCAGTAAACAGACTCTTTTCTTGCTCAATTTTCAGGGCATTAGAAATAAATTACTGTTCACTATGCAAGAAAAGAACTGTAGGCCTCAAACTGTAACTGTGAGAAGTAGGAAGGTATCTTAAATATTGTATACAAGAAGAAGAATATAAATCCTGTCATTACTGAATATTTGACTGGAATATTTCCTAATTTATCTTTTAGATTGCTAGTAACCTAACAGTGTGAACATCTTCATTTGTACTTGTGTAGGCAATTTCAGTGAACCTGTGGGTTTTTTTCAGGTGGTGCTTGGCAGTTCTCCTTTAATGTGAAATTTTACCCTCCCGATCCTTCCCAGCTGTCTGAAGATATTACCAGGTATTTGAAACAATAAATACCTTTCCAAAAGTGCTTTTAAACACAATTTTTGACAGCAGTGACATTCTATCTGTCTGGAAGCATGAATGTTTTTGTTTTACTATCAGCCGCCTTCTAATTATGAGCTAATGGGAAATATTTGATGTTCTCTTAGTAGAGAAAAGGTTAATAGTTGGGGTTTTTATTCATTGTTTTGACTTCCAAACTAGAAGACTTTCACATTTGATAAACTGATACCAAAATCAGGCTTTCTCAATACGTATTTCTAATGAGAAGAATTAATTCTAGCTTCCGAGTTCACAAACATTGCAGTACCCAGTCTTGCCTATTAGTGTTTTGTTGGGTCCTCTAGACACTGTGTGACACAAATACAACTATAATCATCAAACTGGACATGAACATGAACCAGGATTTCGAAAGTAAACATTACTTACCTCTTTCCCTCAATTATGTGTTTTCAAATTTAAATCCCCAGCTCTAAACCTGTTCCCATGGTTTTGGTTCAGGGTTGATCCAAACCCCAGAAGTGGGTTAATTCCCAGCTTTATTTTTGGATACAGCCCAAAGTAGCAGGAATTCACATCAATTGGTCTAATGAGACTTCTGCCATTTGGGGGGCCAAAATTTCACAAGAACAGCTCAGGATGCCTTTGAATCTGAATCCTATCCTTGGTTCACCCTGAAAACTAAGTCCACAACTAGATCCTAGCCTAACCTAATTTCTGGCAGTCCCTTCTCACTATGAAGGACCTCTTGGGGCTAAGTGACCCTGGCTGTCCCAATGGTGCAGCACCCTTCTGCTGACTTTTTAACCTAGTCATGCAGTGCAGTCTAAAGCATTCTGCATCCCAGTCTCATGCAGTCTGGGCTGTTGTGAAATTTGGAAAAGACACCAGGCTGCAATGTTCACTTACACAAGTAGAATGGCCCAGAGCTGCAAGGAAATATGAGGCCTCAAACAAAAAATAAAACTGTGACTCCCCTGTAAACCATTATTTTGCACAAACTTTTCTCCCCCTCTGTTTCTCCCCCTCTATCTTACACTTCCTAGTTTCACCTCTATCCTCTTTTTGGTTTTAACCAGATTGTTCACTTGCAACTTATACTTTTCTTTTGTCCACTTCAGACTACCCTTTTTTCACACCACTGTTGCCAACCACCAAAATCACGAGTCAGACCCCAAAAAATCATGAGATTGGCCCCAAAATCATTCAATTCTTTAATGTTTATGAGCTATTTTCTGAAATTTTTTAACTCCCCCACATCATCATCATCATCATCATCATCATGGAGAAATGTGATTTTAGCCACCTAATCTCTACAGCAATTAATTCTGCCCCACCCTTCCATCACATTTGCTCCAGACCCACATCAACTCCGTCCACCCAACCATACAACAATCCTCCTTTGCTCCACAGCTGCTCCTCCTGCAACTGTGGAGGAGGTTCTCCCCATTGCTAGCCCTGGTGCAGCAGCATTAGAGAGGAGCAGAGGTGGGAGGAACCAATCCCTTTTCACAGGAGGGGGTTGGGGGAGAAAGGAGCAATCCTATAATGAGAGGCTGGGATCTCTCTGCTCCCGCCTCCCTGGCCCCCTCTTGTGCAAATGGTATTGCCTGTTTCCTCTCTGCTCCTGAGGGGAGGGGAGAAAACGTTGCCCGCCTGCCTCCTGTAGCAGCTCTGATTGGCTGCTCTTCCCCAAAAGGTGGTTAGTGAGAGAGGGCTTTTTTCCCCTAGGCAGGAGAGATTACAGAGATTAAGCAATTTGCCCAAGGTCTCGCTGTAAATCTGTAGTAGGGTCAGGATTTTCTCCCAGTCCTGTGCCTCAGCCACTAAACCACCCTTCCTTTCTAGTTCCTCTGAAACTATTTTCAGTTTCTTCTGTCTGGCCCTCACATTGCATGATTAATGGGATCATTTTTAGCAGCATAGCTACCCTTATGGGAAGTAGTCATTTGTTGTTTTTGCTTTTTAGCTAATCAATTAACTGGTATTTCTTAAGTGCTTATTACAGAAAATTATAAATAAAATAAGATGAATTGCTCAGGATATCTGTATGACAGTAGATACCTTAGTATAGTTAATATCTAATGGGGAATTTTCTCTGTAACTTATACCAGAGGTTCTCAACCCTTTGGGGCCATGAGCAGGTTTCAGGGGGTCCGCCAAGTATGGCTGGCATTAGACTCTCTAGGGTCCTGGGCAGAAAGCCAAAGCCCTGCCTCATGGGACTGCAGCCCGGGACCACGGACCCCACCTCCTGGTGCTGAAGCTGAAGCCTGAGCAACTTAGCTTCGCGATGCCTCCTGTGGTTTGGGGCCCCAGGCAATTGCCCTACTTGCTATCTCCTAACACCAGCCCAGGTTTTTATATGCAGAAAAACGGTTGTTGCGGCAAGCTGGGCTGGGGAGTTTTTGTAGCATATTGGGGGGCCTCAGAAAGAAAAAGTTTGAGAACTCCTGACTTATACTATAGTTATAAAACACAGAGTAGCCTATTTCATCAATGAATCTCAAAGTGCTTTACGAAGATTAGTTATTTAAGAGTTAGCATTCATTTGTTACATAGACAAGCATTTATCCCAGTTTTACACATGGAGGAACTTGGGCATAAATTGGGTGTTTTGCTCAAGAACTGTGAGTGGCAGAGTCAGGAAAAGACCCCAGAAATTCTTACTAATGACTGAACCACATCACTTCTCTAAAAGTGCTGGAAGAACTCCTATAAACTCTTGCTCTTATTTATTGTAGGTACTACCTCTGCTTGCAGCTGAGAGATGACATAGTGTCTGGAAGGCTGCCTTGTTCTTTTGTTACTCTTGCTCTTTTGGGGTCCTATACCGTTCAGTCAGAACTTGGAGATTATGATCCTGATGAATATGGAAGTGATTATGTCAGTGAATTCCGGTTTGCACCAAATCATACTAAAGAACTGGAAGACAAAGTAATCGAGCTGCACAAGAGCCACAGGTGAGCAGCGGACCTCCACTCAACTTCCACTCAACTTTGGAGCTTGAGCATCCTCCATGTGAAATATTAGAATCTGCTGCAAAATATTTTGAGGAAACTAACAGTTCTGCACAGGTCTTTTGGAGGAGTGAGACTGTTTTGCTAGGAAAAAAATGTTCTTTAGCATGGAAGATAATGATGCAAAGTGTGTAATGGCTTCTAACTAAATTCTGACAGAATGTGTTTCCCATGTACCGAAGTTTATTCCGTATTATTCTTGCTCAAAACTGATATTAGTAATGACTGTTTTTCTTCAGGGGAATGACACCTGCAGAGGCTGAGATGCATTTCTTGGAGAATGCCAAAAAACTATCCATGTATGGAGTGGATCTACATCATGCCAAGGTCTGGACTATGATTAAAAACTCTTTGTTTCATATTATGGGGCCCATTTCTATACCCCTTCTCAGCTTGACTAGTACTTTATTTCAGAAGGTCCTGTTGATTTCATTTTTCTTACTGATTTCAGTGGAAAAACTGGTAGATTAAGTAACTACTCAAGGTGAGCAAAAGTGGCAGAAATAGGCCCAAAGTGATTAGTGTGTCAGGATGTAAACGCAGCTACATTTTGTAGTTGTTGCAGAACTTAACTAGTTGATTCCAGTTCCATCAACTGTTGGTACGCATGTTTCAAAAAGTCTGTGAAGCTGATTAAACAAACAAATCTTTTTTGAAAGCTGTGATCTGAGAAACAGTTAATGTAATGAGCCTCAGAGCTATTGACTGGATTTGTTTGAAAAATATGCATTTTTATCAGAAGACATCCAGACAATGATTGATTGTCATTTCATTCAGCTGAATTTTCCAATTTAATAAAGTCAATTATGGTGTTTTATCTAGACAAGCAGACCACTTCTAACACTGCAAAAGTCCTTTGAAGCACTTTGTTAACCATACTGGAACTTAATCAGATTGGTAGTGATAAAGGGACTGACGGTTAGCTCTCATTGAAAGAAGTGTATTTGTTTCAGTTAGCCCAATGAATAGGAACTCTCTTGGAATCAATCTCCCATGATGAAACTGTCTCTAAAATCCTCAGCTAGGTTAGGTACATTCACAGATCAAGAGGTACTCACTCAGTGTGGTTGATGAGAGATCGCCAGTCATTTCGTAGTCTTGTGGGGGGGTTGTTTTTGAATTTTTCTGTTTCACTATTCAGAAAAAGATTCATAGATTCCAGCAACTGTAGAGTGAAGTCAGTAAATGTCCTTGGCAAATTGATGCTGGACAAAAGACCAGAGCTTTGGAAGAGCACCACATTTTTTGTGAAGGGTCAAATTACTGTAGAGCCATTTTCATTCTGCATCAGAACCTTTCAACAGCTGAGATAAATATGCTGCTTGGATCTTGAAAGGGCCTTCATCCATGTGCATGAGGCATTTCATAGGAACTGTGTATGTGTATTACAGACTTCAAGGTAATCCTTTGTAGTCTATTAATTGCCTACACTGAAAATGAAAACGCTGTCTATGGCTCAGTGGACATGCATTCTCCCAATAGGCATGCTGTTGCTTTTCTTGTCTCTTGCATGTATGCTCAAGATCTTGAGGCACATTTGGAGCAAAGCTAGAACTGGAATAGGAAATGTCACTCCTTTCTTTGTAGCATTTTAACATCCTCCATCCCTCAGAGGGAGATCAACAAAGAACATTTATGAGTTTTTGTGCAAAATATGTTTTGGTCTTTGATACCAAAAGTTAGTTACTTTGCATTAGGGCCTAGTTATTCTCTCAAAAAAATTATGTAATGCTGGAGAAATGCTGGTAACTAGAAGAGTACAACTATTGGAGTAACCTATTCTGTGCAACAAAGACCTTGTTACCCAGTTTTATCTGACAGAGAATGAAAAACAAAAAGGATCAGGGCAAAACTTTCAGTAAAGTTGATGTGTATTTATATCAAAGCTGCTTACTGTCTAGAGAAGGTATCATAATAAAAGCTGCATCAATGAGCTGAAGGCTGCAAACAATCACTAAGTTAATTATTCTGTTCCTTGATTAAGCAATCTCCTTGAAAACTGGACTGACAGTTGTGTTCATAAATGGGAATTAATATTTTGATAATTATGTAAGTCGCCTACATATGCAAAACTGTACAAGTATGTGTAATGTATTCTCCAGTGTGGCTACGACCTTGCTGCTCTTTAGAGCTGCCTTGGATAGTCTCTTCACCCATATACTAAGAGCCAGAGTCTGTCATTCTTACTCACATTGAGTAATACCTGCTTCCTCAAGTACTCCCACTTAAATCAGCAGGACTATTTGGGGAATAGAGGTGGCAGGATCTGGGCCTGAATGCAGGTATAACTGGTACAAAGGTTAAAGTTCAGGAAAGAAATCTTTTCTTAAACAGGTAATATGAAATAGTCCCTTGCATCTTGGACTTTGTGCATGCATTTTGCATATGGACCTCAAGCCTTTATTTTTGAAAATATGGCTCAGTATATTTAAACATTTCTTTGTTCTTAGAAAAATGAAAAATTGAAATACACTGCAGACACTAAATTTTATTTTTGGATAGTACATCCCAACACTGAAATCTAGTTTTATTTAGACGTCATTTCCCTTTGAGGGCCCCACACACATTATTGCTGTATCTCTTATTGATCTCTCATTCATGGTGCAGTACGTTTTACACACTGTCTAGTTCTTTGGTGTATATCTCACCTTGAGAAAGTTCAGCATGAGCAATTTTTGAATTGCAGTAGAATTTTCAAATTGTGAATTTCCTTTACAACTAAATTAACTATGCCTCTGGTCTTTTGGTTCACCTTAAAATGCAGCCAGATTTTCAGTATATCTTTAAAAGATGATTTGCTAGGAGACTAAACGAAACCAATTCACTCATTTCATGACTGTCATAGTATGAAAGTTTTGTAAGTTCTGTTGTCAGATTGCTGTTAACTTAAAATTGTTTTAAAATTGTTTTTAAAAAAGCCTCCAAGCTTAACGTGATAACCTTTTTGTTTCCGATGGTACTTAATAAGCTAGATGAAACAAATATAATGAAAAATGAATCCTTTACAAATCTCCAGTTGCATGCATCTGTAATAGTAAATGGCAAAGAGAGATTTTTAGACTATTTTGTAAGATTTCTAAAGGGGTGCTTTTGACACCTTAAAGTCCTGAGAAATGTGAACTGCAGCCTGGTTTCTCAGGCAAAATGAGTGACAGCACAAGCCCCATAAGCAAAGACTTTAAGGAACCATTCCATTCTAAATGCTGCTCTTTTATTATTTTTTTTGCTTTTTTTTTTGCTATTTACTAATTCATTTACGCTGGCAGAGAAATGAGGAAGAAAGAGTATTGGGCATAGGTGCAACTACATAAATAAATAACCTGGGGAAGAACTAGATATGAAACTGCACAAGACCAACAATCATGATGATGAGGGATATAGTAAACAGGATAGTAAAGAAATGTCCCTCATCACTCCCAGTCTTATGGTTGTGCTTATAGCATTAGGGAGGTAATACTGTTTAATAAAGCAATTATCAGTGTAGTTAAACCTCTTATGCTATTTTTTTCCTTTTTGGAGTCTTTCAGACAAGTTTTTAACATTCAGTAAAATCTTTCATCTTCTTTGTATATGATGTTGTTAAATATGGCACCTTACATCTGTTTGTATAGATATGAATAAGTAAGCAAGCTAAGGTTACCTAATGAGTCACCACAGCTAACACAGTTCAAATATGTAGCTCAAATAAGAACAAGACATATAAAATTATGGAACTTTGGAAAAGGAGAGAAGAAATCCACAAAGTATGTTGCTTACTTTTTCAGGATTCTGAAGGAGTTGAAATCATGTTAGGGGTTTGTGCCAGTGGTCTCTTAATATATCGAGACAGACTCAGGATAAATAGATTTGCCTGGCCAAAGGTTCTGAAAATTTCATACAAGAGGAACAATTTCTACATCAAAATCCGACCAGGAGAGGTAAGCAGACCCTGACACATATACTAGTAAAAGAAACTTATTCAAAGTACCTTGTGACCTCATGGACTGGTTTGTTTGCCATTGTTCACAAGTTTGTATCAATAATCTTCATCTAAATTTTTAAGATGTATTGAATTTTTTCCCCCTTTCTTAGGAAAGATTAGGCAAATCCCTTATTTAAAATATGTCTAAAATACATTCTGGGTCATGAAATAACATGAAGGATGAATTTGTCCTGTTGCATTTAAAGATAACACTCTCATATACCATGTCATAAATATTTTGTGAATGTGAATAATATGTTGATAAAATATTAGTAAATACAATTATTTATTGGGTGCTTCTCACTGTAGCTGGTCAGAGATTACACATGGTTTAAACGGGTCTGTTCCCCCTTTCCAATCAGAGGAGCACATAGGCCATGCATTCAGAGCTTTACAGATATCCTGGAATACTAAATCAATGGAATAAAATATCTATCCATCAGTAATATTGGTACATAAGAATGTTAGTCGTTTCAGATCTACAGCACTTCATCTTCTGAAGTGCTTGAAGGTGTTTTGAACTATTGTATGAAGAGTGCCCTCTGGTGGTTTGATGGGATGCATAGCATCCACCACAAACCCTTTCAATGACCTGCCCTTCTCATTTGCTTCTGAAGATATTCAACCCCATAGAGATAGATTAGACAAATGCTTCCCACTCTCGTTTACTAACTCCAGTTCCTTTCCTATATACCTCCTTAATCCTAGTGGTCTCTGAAACCCAAATCAATCTCAGGGGACTCTTTCTCACCTCAGGCTATTGTCAGAAAATTCAAATGTTTTCTCATTGCAGTTAAGTTGCTAAAACATTAGAGCAACAAATAGTTGAAAGGCACTAACCACATAATTCTTTCTCCTAAATCTCCCAAGCCCTTTCTTTAAAAGTCTGTGCTGTGCTACAATGCATAGCGCAGCCATCTTAATCAATAAACTCTCACTCCTCATTCCTAGTCCTAACAAACTATTCCATCATCACCCAAACTGGGATTTCAAGACAGGAATCAGGAGACTGTATGTGTATATATTTGTAGAGATATGCAGGTATGTACATATGGAGTAATGAAATGATATAGGTAGAGAAAATTAATATGAAATTGTATCTAGACAAACTGGAGAAATGGTCTGAAGTAAATAGGATGAAATTCAATAAGGATAAATGCAAAGTACCCCACTTAGGAAGGAACAATCAGTTGCACACGTACAAAATGGGAAATGACTACCTAGGAAGGAGTACTGCGGAAAGGGATCTAGGGGTCATAGTGGATCACAAGCTAAATATAAGTCAACAGTGTAACACTGTTGCAAAAAAGCAAACATCATTCTGGGATGTTGTGAAGGGGTGGATTAGGCCCTGAGGCCCCCTGCTGGAGGCTTCGTGGCCCTGCCACACTCCACCCCAGAAAAGGCCAGAAGAGAGGTTCTCCAGACTGCCTAGAGCAGCTGTGTGGGAAGCCGCCAATCAGGGCCCAGCGGGTCAGTATGAGAAGAGATGCAGGGCAAGAGTGAGGTTCAGTTCCTTGCTAGAACTGGAGGAGTGTGCATGGTGTGTGCTGGCTGAGGGAGCTGCACGACCTTGGATTAAGTAGTGCTGCCAGAAGCCAGTGAGGCTGCAAAGGATCCCTGAGCTGGTTGCAGGGACTCCATCAGGACAAGGCCCTGAGGTAAGGTGAAGATGACATGGGGCCACGGGGAAGTGGCCCAGGGAATTCGAGCAGTAGCACGACTTAGGCTATGTCTACAGTACCGCAGTAAGTCGACCTACGCTACACAACTCCAGCTACGTCATTCATGTAGCTGGAGTCGATGTACCTTGGTTGAGTTGCCGCAGGGTCTACACCACGGGGGGTCGACTGGAGAAACTCTCCCATCGACTTACTTGACTCTTCTTGTTGGGGGCAGAGTACAGGGGTCGACTGGAGAGCAATCTGCTATCGATTTGGTGGGTCTTCACTAGACCTGCTAAATCTACCGCCGGTGGATCGATCTCAGAGTGTTGATCCCATCTGCAGTGTAGATGAAGCCTGAGATAAAGGGACATAGGGACAGCGGCTAACTACAGGGTTCCTGGGCTGGGACCTGGAGTAGTGGGTGTTCCCCAGTTCCCCCAAGCTCCCCATTAGTCACTGGGGGAAGTGGCCTAGACACGGAGGTACCCCAGAGGGGGAACTGAACTGTAGAAGTCCAGCTGAAGAGCTGGGGCCAGAAAGGTCCTGAGAGGGCAAAGACATTGCCTCCAGGGAAGGAGCCCTGGGACACCGTTCTATTCTGGAGCAGGGACAAACTGAGGCATTATTGAGGGCACTGAGAGAGGACCCTGTTGGACTTGTACCCCGGAAGGGATTTGCTTTGCTTTTAACACGCAGACAGACTGTGTGTGACTTGGCTGGAGGGCTGAGTCATCAAAGAGACACCACATAGAGTACAGGCGCACACACTTGGCCGGAGGGCGGGGGGACTCACGAGAGGTGAGTATGCCCCGTTATAGATCTATGAGGAGGAATGTTGTAAGCAAAACATAAGAAGTAATTCTTCTCTACTCTGTGCTGATTAGGCCTCAACTGGAGTATTGTGTCCAGTTCTGGGCACCACATTTTGGGAAAGAAGTGGACAAATTGGAGAAAGTCCAGAGAAGAGCAACAAAAATGATTAAAGGTCTAGAAAACATGACCTATGAGGGAAGATTGGGAAAAAATGGGTTTGTTTAGTCTGGAGAAGAGAAGACTGCGGGGTGGGGGCAGGCATGATAACATTTTCAAGTACATAAAAGGTTGTTACAAGGAGGAGGGTGGTAAATTGTTCTTGTTAACCTCTGAGGATAGGACAGGAAGTAATGGGCTTAAATTGTAGTAAGGATGGTTTAGGTTGTACTTTAGGAAAAACTTCCTGTCAGGGTAGTTAAACACTGGAATAAATTGCCTAGGGAGGCTGTGGAATCTCTGTCACTGGAGATTTTTAGGAGCGGATTAGAAAATGGTCTAGATAATACTTAGTCCTGCCTTGAGTGCAGGGGACTGGACTAGATGACCTCTCAAGGTCCCTTCCAGTCCTATGATTCTATTATTAGAAAACATGCTTTATAGCGATAGACTTAAGTAGCTCAATCTGTTTAGCTTAACAAAGAGAAGGTTAAAGGGTGGTTTGATTACACTCTATAAATACTCACACAGGGAACAAATATTTGATAATGGGCTCTTCAAATTAGCAGAGAAAGGAATGGCTGGAAGTGAAGCTAGACAAATTCAGATTTGGAAATAAGGTGAAAAATTTTAACAATGAGGGTAGTTGACCAGTGGAACAACTTACCAGGGGTTGTGGTTTTTTTTTTTTTATTAATTTTTTTTTAATCAAGGTTGGATGTTTTTGTAAAAGAGACACTCTATTTCCAAAAGGAATTAATTCAGGGAAGTGCTATGGCCTGTGTTATGTAGGAGGTCAGGCTAAATGATAATAGTGGTCCCTTCTGGCCTTTGAATCTATATAAATCTGTAACTACTCAGTTTTTCTTTCTTTCTACCTAGTTTGAACAGTTTGAAAGCACTATTGGGTTTAAGTTGCCAAATCATCGTGCTGCAAAGCGTTTATGGAAAGTATGTGTTGAACACCACACATTTTTCAGGTATGTGGGGTTTCCTTCCTAAAGGTTTAGAATAAAGCCTGACCCCCCACTCCCAAAAAAATTGTGCTAATACAGCCAAATGACTTGGGATCAAATTATTACTCTCTGATCGCTGAGATATTTGGAAAGATTACTATTCCCAAAGTATTTGTAATGCTTCACCAAAATTATTCCAACTGTGGCTGGTCCTTAATTGGACCTTAAAATATCACATGATTTTGATTGCCAGCTTGATATTTTTCATTTCATATGCACAATGATGTTATCAGTTAATGTTTGTCTAACACCTACAGTTTATGGGCTGATTGGAAATTTGTCCCATAATTTCTGTACACATTCTCTTTCTCACACACACACACAACTTGTGTGGCAACTGGAAATTTTTTGTTAGACTTGAATAAAAATAAAAAAAATGACATTTTGGTTGATTTAAATATGAAACTGCAGAATTCAATCATGATTCTTGGGATACATATGTAGATGTTTGAATCAACTTATTTTATCCATCCCATAATTTTCATTATTTAATGAGCCTTGGGCATCTGAGGGATTTAGCAACTGTGAAGATACAGCCAGGCTTTTGTCACCCAAAAATGCCTGAGAGACAGGTTGGGAAAGTGGAAGAAAAACACTAGCTGGATTTTTTTACTAAGGTAATAAGCAATGGGATATTTAGTAATGTTTACCTATGAGAGTGGGATTTTCAAAGGCACCAAAGGCATCCAGTTCCCACTGAAAATCATCTAATTCCACTAGGTGCTATAATACAGTAAGTTTGGGCTTTAACATAGGTTCTGAACTTCTAATTTAATTTAAAATTGGTTTATTGTTTAAAAATAAACCCGTATTTAATTTAAATGTAAAAATTCCAATTTACATTAAAAAAAAATTTAAGTCATCGTTTTTTTATCCATCCTATTGATTACATTTGGTTCACATTTGGAAAGTTTTCTTTGCAATCACAAGGGGTAAAAATACGTTACTCCCCTCCCCCACTCCCAAAGGAAAGGTTAGTTTTTGCAGTACGACTCCATGGTAAGAAGGGGAAAGAGCAAATTCCACTACCTGTGTAATTGTAGAGTACAGGGGGCCCCAACTTCAAAAATTCGAACACCTGTATGCATGTAGGGCCTTGTGTACATTGAGAATCTGGCCTGACTGCAAGGATCGATGGCCAGTCTCCAGTGTAGCTGTATCAACAAAAACCTCAACTGTAGGCAAGGGCCTTATCCTGGCTTCAGGCAGCATAACTGACAGTCCACAAGAACATTGAATCTTTGTTTCTCTTTTTGATGATTAGAAAAAAACAGTGTTGAGGTGTCTCTCTTTATTTTAATAAGAGATTCATTCACTAAATAACCTCATTTTCCCCATAAAGACTTTTTGTGAAAAACTCAGTCTTTCTGTATACCATTACAAAATTACTTAGCCAATGTCGAGGGCATGCTCTATGTTTCCCTTTACACAGAGGTTGACAGAACACAGATTAAGATAGGTAAAGATACACAACATTTTACTTTTTTTTAATCCACAAAATAAATTCTTTGTGTGTGGAATAATATTTTTACTGTTCTGTGTGTATTAGGCTATTGTTACCGGAGGCACCGCCAAAGAAATTCCTTACACTGGGTTCCAAATTCCGCTACAGTGGAAGAACACAAGCCCAAACCAGACGAGCCAGTGCACTAATAGACCGTCCTGCACCTTACTTTGAGCGTTCTTCCAGCAAACGTTATACTATGTCTCGCAGTTTAGATGGGGGTAAGATCCTCTTGATTGTCTTCCTTGGAGTTTTGTCACAAATTATAATCATAAAGGACAGTGCTAGAGAATAGCTATAAACCTCTTGTGATCTCGTATCCCTTCAGCTTCTGCTGAATGAGACCTGTAAGTATATTCACGATGATTCTTTATTATAAGTAGATAGCCTTTAAATAAATATTGGCCCTTCTCCTGCTTTTAGTAACTTTGCACAGTCTGTAGCATAATACTTATGCGGCAAGAGAACCAAACATTTTTCTGTATGGTTGTTCATCTAGGTGGATTTTAAAAGGTTTTGATTCTGGACAGATGTTATGTGATGCTAAATAATCACGCCACTGAGCACCTTTCTCCAGTTAAGCAAGCAGGGTGAGATTTTCAAAGGATCCTAAGTCACTTAAGCTCCCAAGTCACCAAGATTTTCAAAGGCTCCAAAGTCACCAACTCCTACTGACTTTCAAAAGAAATTGTTCTCCTCTGTCACTCAGGGCCTTTGAACGTACCATCCACTGTCAGTTATATGCACTCAAGTCTGGATTAGGAAGCTAATGAGCTAGTTATTTTCTTGAACTAAAGGGCTGGTCAGCTCCCCCTTGCTTGCAAGCGCACTGACTGTATCCTGGAACCAATGCCCCTCTGTTAGCTACTGGTGTATAAGGAGCACAGTGTATGATGGGACAAGACATAGAAATAGCACCCTGTTGACTTCTGCTCCATGCTGCTGATTTCAGTTACAGTAGAATCTCAGAGTTCCGAACAGCTCAGGAATTGAGGTTGTTCGTAACTCTGAAATGTTCGTAACTCTGAACAAAACGTTATGGTTGTTCTTTCAAACGTTTACAACTGAACATTGATTTAATACAGCTTTTAAACTTTACTATTCAGAAGAAAAATGCTGCTTTCCCTCTTTTTTTAATAGTTTACATTTAACACGGTACTGTACTGTATTTGCTTTTTTTCCCCGTCTCTACTGCTGCCTGATTGCGTACTTCCAGTTCCAAATGAGGAGTGTGGTTGACTGGTCAGTTTGTAACTCTGGTGTTCATAACTCTGGTGTTCTACTGTATGAAGAATCTCAGCAGGCATTCCCAGCAGCAACGTGCATAGGCCAACTCCCCCTTTCAATGCCTCCTGGCTCCCAGCTACAAAGATGGGCCTTACCATTCACCTTGCTATCCAGCCAGGATGAGGCAGAGGCCCAGCTCCCATGTGCTTCCTATGGTGTACTTGATCTCCACTAGAGAGCAAGAATCCCTTGCACTGAGAGGTTCCTTTCTAGGCCTCAGGAGGAAAAGAGATGATCTCGAGAGAAAGCAAAGATCCCCTTTGCTCGATCAGCTTTTTAATCCAGCCAAAGAAGGAGAAAAACAAATTTCCTAGCCTCTGAAGACTGTGAAAGGTACCCAGCCTAGTATGCCCCTTCCCTTCAAGATACATTGCAGATGCACTAGCCAGAAAAAGGGATGAGTGAGTGCCTAGAGGAGTGGGTGAAGTTAAGCTGGGAGGGAGGAGAGTAAGAGAGAGAGCTGAATGCGCATGCAGAGGTGGACTGTGAGAAGGACGGGGTAAGGCTGGGGTAAATACATAATTTTAAAAATAGTGAACAAAAATATGTAAAGTTGAATGGAAAACAGTTACAATAAAATACACCTGCTGTCAGATTTTACATAGATAAAAACTCTCGCTGGCTTTCCCATCTTGGAATGTTACTAGTCCATTCCTGCCAGTGATGACTTCTTTATCCTGGACTCATAAAGACCCTTCTGAAGAACACTTCACAGAGTATGGGATGCACTAAACTGCATGTACAATAGTTTAAAAAAAATGTTTGGAAGAAACATCATTCCTGGGCTGCATTCCTCAGCCCCATCACTGCAAAGTACTTTTGTCTTTTGGGGGCTGTTCAGAAGTGTTTGTGGGGGCTGCTAGCATCTGCCAGTATGTGTGCAGCAAACCAGCATTCAAAGTTTTCTCCAGGATTTAGATGAATTATTGGTTTTGTATGAAGGTTGTAATTTAATTTTCTGCGTGGAAATGGCATAGGAATATGATAGAAGTTCACAGGTGAATCATTTCTCTTCAATGAGTAACAAATAGCATTTGTTTCTTATTTCCAGTCTAGCATAGCTGCTTAGCATGATATGAGATATAGCTTTTTACGTAAACTAATTCAGATTATGTAATATTAAGGATAATATGGCATAGGTTAATATTACTTCCTTCCTCCTCCTTTTTCCTTCTTTGTAGCTCATGGAAATCAAGGTCCTGCTTCTCCTTTAGGTTAAACCAGCATGCTGTTCAGAAATCTAAACTACTTGGTCAGTTTTTAGTACTGTGCTGTTTCACCCCACATTCCTAATTGGTTTTTGATTTTTTTTGTGTGTGTGTGAAAAAAGTCTTTTAAGAAGCTTTATTTGAAATGACTGCATTTTTAAAAAATGAATGCTGACAAAAGGATATCACAAATGCTACACAGATGATACATAATGAAGACTACTGAGGTTAGGGGGAAAATCTGTGATTTTAAACATATTAGTGACAATCCCTCCCTTCTCCCCATGAAACGGATGCCAACGGTGCTTATCATTCATTAATTTGGATCCTTCTAATTCTAATATGCTTCATGCTGGTTACCAAGCAACTAGTGACCTGACTGCTGTGCATGTATCTCCAAGCACAAATTACCCTTCTGTGTTATTTTATTTTATTTATAATATCCAAACAGTCCCCATCCCCCCCTCCAAAGGTCATCTAAGAGACAAGAAATTTGAAATGCTTTCTTATGAGTGTATTAGGATCTGCCAGGTTTAAAATACATTAATTTGCATAGATAGACCTAGTAGGGTGGGGAAGAGAGGTCTTTTGGCATTCATTCAGATTTCATTGCATTGCAGGATCAGGGCTAGTGTAAACTTTCACATGTGCTAGTAATCTTATGGGTGTGAGCAATCCCATTGGATTAGGAACTGATTACATGCATAAAGTTATTCCTGTGCAGGATCTAGGCATATAGTTGTATTTATTTGTTAATCTGCTACTACTTTTGGAATCATTAATATGTATTTAGGTTTATAGATTATTGAACATTTAAGACCTAAAATACTGAGAAAAGCCATATCCTGTTTGGCTTACTCACATAGATAGTCCATGGGCCTAAACACAATATTTTTGCCATCCTGTTTTTGAGGTTGTGGGCATATTTGACTGTCAGATTTTAATTCTGAATAATAAGAAGAAGAAGAGAGAAAAGCTGTTTCTTGCTTCTCAGATGTTATGCATGTGTTACATTAAGAATGTCATTTTGTGTAATGCAGTGCAGCTATATACAATGCATTTGATTTGCATTAAGTTATATTGTGACTAGAGATTCAAAAAATTCCTTTGTTCCTCTACTCGTGGCTGAAGTCATAGCTATTTTTTCTTACATTCCTGGCCTACTAATATGGCAATGCATTAGTTTCATTCAGATATTGAATCATGGTAAGCGCTTTAACAGCTTACTAACAGTTCAAAATAATGCGTAATGCATGCATTATGAATGTAGTGTGTGTATACACATACATCTGAAAAATAATGTGTGTATGTATGTCTATACAACCCAGACCTTTAAAGTAAGTACACAACACTTTTATTTAAGTATATATGCATGTTTTTGGATACCTGAAATATATTTTCATGTTTTCAGCAAAATAATGTTTTACTAACCCAGCTTCTAATTTTATTCAGATCTGCAGAACAAGCTATTTCAGACTTTATCTCTTTAAATTATATTTGCTTTTAGCATCAGTGAATGAAAACCATGAAATGTACATGAAGGATTCTATGTCTGCTGCAGAGGTTGGTACTGGCCAGTACGCCACAACAAAGGGCATCTCTCAAACCAACTTGATAACCACTGTGACTCCAGAGAAAAAAGCAGAGGAAGAAAGAGATGAGGAAGAGGGCAAAAAAAAAGGAGAGGAAATCACTCCAGTCTCTGCAATACGCCATGACACAAAGGTAATGTTTTCAGGTTTACTATTTAACTCACCCAGCTGTGAAGTACTTGAAGCACCACAGTAATTATTAGAGAGAGAAGCAAAATTCAGTAAGGATAAGAAAGAGAATGTGTATTAAACGCATAACAAGAAAACTTTGTACGCTGCTATGTACTCTCTGAGAGTGAGTAGGTGATGTGTTTGAAGTTAATTCATGCTTTCTGCTATTTGGCTTAGAAACAGTTTGATTTAGCAGTCAGTGTGATATGGCTTTCAACAGGGAACATCTAAAAGAAGTGGCATTTACATACTACACTTTTGATCTTTTTTGTTTTTGTTTTATTTATTTTGTTATTGTTCACTTTTCAATAGGCAACAATATTTTTCAGGTTTTTTTTGCACAGTTCAGTGTTTGAAGAATCACTTGGGTTTTTTTCTGGTCACATTCCATACCTCAGCACATACTTAATGGGCATGTAATCTCTACACCTAACTGTTTGGTGCTAGTGTACTGTAGCATGTTTTTTTCTGGCTTAGTAAGTTGTTGGCTTCCCTTTTATGTAGTTTTGCACTGAAAAGCCTATTTTTACTGGCATTTCTCTACTCCTTAGTCATATGGTATAGATTTCTGTCATTCACCACATCCCATTCTCCTCTCCCAATAACTCTGGAATTCAATTTGCTCTATTTTTGATAAAGAGTAAATCAAACAGAGCAAATGCTGAGCTTCAGAGATTAACACTGAAGAAAAAGCAGGTAGAATCAGGAAATATGCAGCCAAACAATCTTCCTGTTCTACATCAGAAAAAAATAGCCTGTGAAATATTTGTACCTAGGATATAATGCAAAGGGACATTTTTTGAACTTTGATGCTCCACATTTTCAAAAAGGGTGAGGCCCAGCCTGCTTAGAAGCACAAAATTGCACCTCCACATTTTATACCCACAAATAAATTATGGATACAAATCTGAGAGCTTGCACTTCTCACTACCTGAGATATGCCTGCAATAAGGTAAGTAATTGGAGGTTTAAGTCTCTATACAGACACCTACAATTAAGTTGCAGGTTCAAAAATTCAGGGAAAAAAATGTACACATGCAAATTGTACCCCAAAACAGAGTCCACCCTTTAGAGCTCTCTTTAAAAAATAATACCTTTTGTAATTTTTAACAAGGATTGTGAATGAAAAAGACTATATTGAAATTCAAATGTATGTCGCGGGGGGGGAGGGGGGAGAAAATATCCACTGGAAATAAATGCTGTCCCTATGGGATTGTTAATTTAGGTCAAGCAGGAGAGTGAGCTGCAGTTCAAAGGAGACATATAGCTGGAAATTGCTAATGAGACTTTCAGAAGAACATTGTGAAGTTACTTACCCACCCCCAGAATACATAATTTATTTTTCAAAAATAAAAATTGTGTTTAAGTAATCAGTTAAGAGGGCTGCAATTTTAAAACACTATTAAAGACCCAGTTCGGTTTCTATTGAGGACCATGGGAGTTTTGCCATTGACCTAAATGGGAATATGGATCAGGCCTTAAGAAGCAACTGGACCAATTTTCAATTCGATTCTTATTCAAAGAAATCTAAACTTTTGTATATAGTTTTTCAGCTTTTCTGATAAGGGATTTTACAGTTTGAATTAAGCATTGCAGGTCTAACTGGTATACCAGGAGAAATTCTAAATGTTAATTCTCCCAGCATGTAAATAAATTCATTAAAATATTGCTGCAGAGGAAGAATTTACAAATTATGACTTTTGGCTTCATATTGTAAAGAAATGTTTGTGTGCATATATCACATATAATAAAGTAATTTCATCCAGATTTAATCTGTTTGGACACTTCAAAACAGGTATGGACTTGAACATAGCACTTGACCATAAAATTATTGGCAGAGAGTTAAAAAAGGAATTCATTTTGAATAATGTTTAAAATTGATGTTATATTAAACATAAGTATCTCAAATTTATAAAATGGTTTTTTACTTGTTTTTTTTTAATTCTGGAATACTATGAAATTGGATGCATCATTACCTAAATTAACTGGAATCAGGAAGTGTGTAGTTATGTGATCTGTTTGGATACTAGGCTAAAGGAAAATAATGGGGGAAATCGGTAATTTTTTAATGTAAATGTGAATCTTAAGGGGACCAGCTCCTGCTACTAAAATGCATAGTAAGGTTTACACATAGTAACTAGTGATAGTAGGATATGGCATTAAGGCCCCTTATCTTGCAATTGGCTCAGTGCAGGCGGGTGCCTGTTCCCACATGGAGCTGGTTTTGGGATCAGGGTGTAAGACTGTAAATGCATGTGAAATGTAGAAAACTGGTCTAGGAAGACAGTAATAATGGGCGCAGTTCAAGTTGTCGCAGTTTGGGTAATGGAGCTGGTTCTCTGTTTCATTTATTCACAGTGGGCCATATTGAATTTGACTAAGTGTGTCTAAAAATAAACAAACATTATGATGAATCTACTGGCCTTTTTCTTTCTTTTTTTAAAGAATGCCAGTGAGAGGCTACGAGGGAATGTGATAGTTACACAGCACACAAATAGAGTGTATTCCCTCGTGGCAACTCACACCATTGTCTTGTTTTATTTGTTTAAATTTTAAATATTGTGTTGAATGCCTTTCTAACATTCTTGCATCTCAATGAAAGAGTAGTAAATCCTGCCTGTTCTTCATAGGTAGAGCGAACTTTCTAGGAAGAGTATTGGCTGCATTTTTTTTTGCCTGTGCATAAAGGGTAAAAGAAAAAAATTACTCTTCTAGCACAAAACCAGAGGGATTTGGCTTTGTATGTAATTCAGCCCTTACCCACAAGGCTCATGTAGTTAGAACCCTAGCCCATAGACTGCAATGGTATTCCCTTGCACAGCCAGTGAGGGGCTGTTGGGGACATTGCATCTGCATAGCCCAGGATCCTATGTCCCCTCCTCCAGTCTGCTCCCAAACTTCCTGTACCTAGTGGTCTGTTTGGGGCCAGTGCAATTGCTCTTTCCTAGGGATACGGAAGTCACACTGTGTACTCATGTAGTCCTTGGTGAAGAGGGCCATTCCTGGGCCTTCTGAAAAGTTATTTACAACTATTATTTGTAGGCGAGGCTTCTTTCCATGTGGCCAAATTGATTATGGGTTTGATGGCCCCAGTCACAAAACAGAAGTGGGACCGGAAATTTAAATATACTGAGTAGATCTTCACCTGTTGTAAAGCCAGCTGAGGATCTGTCCCACTGTGTTCATCTGCTGAGTATGATTTTTCTGCTGAGTTACCAATCCATGAAACTGGCATCGGCTGAGGTAGTAATTTTTCCCAAAACCAGAGTAAGTTTTCATTTTTGATCATCTTTAATTTTGGGACATTTTATTCTGTTAGATATTTTTCTGTGGAGGAGACTTGGGAAAAGACTATTGAAAGCCTTGATTTTTCAGTCATTTTGGGGGAGATGTTCAAAATCTCAGATGACAGACATCTAAATGCCTTTTGTGCTTCTGAAAATCTCCCGCTTTGTGCCTAGTCCTTGCCCAGGCTAATTTCCCACTGACTTGACTGAGTAAGGACTACAGGACATGTCATAAGCAGAATAGTTATTAGAAGTTCTTTTCCTTGTTTCAATGCCTTTTTTTGTTTGGGGATTTTTGTCTTTATTTTTAGGGGGGGGGGCGTTTTGTTATCCACGTACTTTATGTTTGAAAGCACTTATGATAGATAGGAATCCACAGCATCTGGAAGTGCACATAGACAAGGTTCCTTTAAAGGACTTTTATTTAGATCGTGTACTACAGTATGACTGGACAGACAAATGTTGAATGAAGAAGTTGCTTTTGTAAGCTGCAACCCTCCATCACTAATAATCGGCATGCAGTGTGAGAATTCGTCTCATTTAACTCAGTGAAAAGCTTTGGTGTTAAAATTCTGTTTTGTATATATAAACACAGAAGAAAATTAACTAATTACAGTTTTCTTTTTGTCCTTTTGCTTCTGCGCCTTGTTTGCTGCTCTCTCTCTTTCATCAGTCATCTTTGCTTGGCACTGATTCATTTCATTCCTCATCAACCTCACAGTCTGGTCCCCCTGTATCTTCAACAAAGCTTCGTAGGAGATGTAAGGAGAATGCTCAAAACCCATTAAGTTGTGAGTCATCTAAAGACATTATGCAAATGCACGGTGAGTCTGACTTGGACTCTGATAGAAAAGGAAGAGTTTGCTCTGCTGAACAAGACATGGCTTTTAGTTATAAGCAAAAAGCTGGTAACGGCGGAACACTGTTTTCCTTCTCCTTGCAACTTCCAGAGTCATTTCCTGCTCTCCTGGATGATGACGGCTACCTTTCCTTCCCTAACCTCTCTGAAACCAACTTCCTGCCTGAAAGTGTGCAGCATTACCTTCCCATCCGATCACCATCCCTCGTGCCTTGTTTCCTTTTCATCTTTTTCTTTCTGCTGTCTGCCTCATTCTCAGTGCCATATGCTCTCACTCTCTCCTTTCCTCTGGCTATGTGCCTCTGCTACCTGGAGCCCAAGGCGGCCTCCTTGAGTGCCTCACTTGACAATGACCTGAGTGACAGTTCAGAGGAAGAGGTGTGTACCTCGGCATAGAACACACTTCTTTTTGTGTTCAGTGCTTCAGTCCTAAACAGTGGTAGAATGCTGCAATAGTGGTCCTACTTTCAGAACCTCATTTCTGTCTGTGCTGATATGTAAGAGTTTTTTGTGTTGGGAGTGCAGCTTGGGTCCCAGGGTTAGGCACAACACTGTGAATGAGATAGCAGCTTGGTTCAAACTTTATCAGTTGTTGTGCAGTGAATTACACTTACGATTTGCCACAAATCAACTCTAAAGAACAATATCTGAACTCTCTCTCTCTTCCAATCAGTTTTTTCTTCCAGTTAATACTAGTTTTTACTAAAGACAGTAGAAGAGTTGTTTAAATAACAAGTAGTTAAGTAAAATTGTATGCATAGTTACATATCAAACAACTAATAATTGGCACTATCCCAAATGTTGGGGTTGCTCAGAATCCAAACCAGAGTCAGAATTTTGAAAATGGACTTTAATTTTGTAACAGGACAAGCAAAATCCCCAGTTCCTAATATCCCAAACTTTGAATGTCAAAATCTGGATCTGGTCTTTGTGGCTTGATCCTGTCTCTACTGTAGATTCAGCTAGTATCCCATTCAGTGCAGCATTCTACTGAAAATCTGCATTGGTACGTTTTTCAATTGCAACTGCAGCATTTCCTAGTTACCACTTGCTGCTTTAAATTAGCACTACCAAAATTAATGCTTTCTGTCAGTAAACTGGATGGCTTATAACAAAATACAGCTAAAGCAATTTGCCTGGCAACAAAATCTGTAGTGCTGGTGAGAAATTTGCATGTAATTACATAGAAGAAGAAGAAAGGGAATCTACTTGATTGTATAACAGATACTAAGTAATTGGTATCTATTTTACTCCTGACCCTTTCTATGCTGACAGAGTAAAAGCATGGGGTCAGATTTTTAGAATCTTTAGATGCACAACTACATGCCTGTTTTGTGCATACAATTGTACCGTCCTTGCAGACACAAATCAGGTAATTGCATATATAAATTACCATTAGCCATTTGTACATGCAGTTCTTAGTCTGATGTGCATTGTATGCACATTCTGTTCATCTAAAGATTTTTAAAATCTGCCCCATGAGTTTCAGCAACATTTGGCCCTAGGATTGTGATTCCCTTTTATGGAATGCCAGAGTTACATCTGTTTGCACCATAACATTTTCTTCACATGTTTTTGGTTCCAGTCTTTAAGAAAAAAAACTGCAATTTAGGATGAAAGGCGTCCAAGATCCATTTTACTGTCTCATTTCATGTCTTCACTTTGAAATAGCATTAAATTTCAACTTACAATAGCTCTGCACTCAGATGATTATAATAGTAAAAACATAATATATTGTCTGTTATAGAAGCAGAGTGTATAGCCAAAAATAATAATAAGGCAGTGTTTATAGAATCCATTTGTGTATTCTTCTTTCAGTCTTTTGGTATTAGACTTAGTGGTCAAAGTGAATATCATCATAACAATGTGTAAAATAAACTTTGCAATTTAGTCCTTTTGTGATAATGGTTACCCCAGAATCCGTACTTGTATGGCAAATTACACAGACTTGTGCCTAATCCAGGGTGTATTTCTTGTTCAAAATATTGCATGAAAGTTAATATGTTTTAAAGTTGGGCATGTCTGCATTACATTGGCAAAACAAATCACAGCAGTTATTGTCACAAACTAGAGGACAAAGCAACTGAAGCTTATCAGAATATAGCTATCTTTTTCCTTTCGTGTCCCCTAGCCTGCCAATAGTGCCAGCAGCTGCATATCATTCAGAGCACTACAGTTGGTCTATAATTTTAACCAGCCATTCTTTTAACTCTCTGTGCCTAGTGAAATCTGCCTTGCTGAGCCTCTTAAACCTCCATTTCACTGCTTTTTAATGACTTCAAATCTTTATTTGACAAGTAGTTCAATAACATCAACTTTTAGCCTCTTGGTGTAGACTTGTTTATTAGTAGATTTGTCCATCGTGATTATAGACTGATTTCTAGATTTCATTTAGAATTTCAGTTTCATTAAGGAAGAAATAGAAAAAAAAACTCTGTATAAACATGTACTTTTAGTTAACAGTAGTGTACCCAATGATGTGCATGACCTATTTAAGAGCTACAATAAGTAGCCTGCCCCTGCGGACTGTATTCTGATCAAACCTCTTCTTTGACCACATTCTATCCTGAGACGTGCATCGGTGGCAGGCTGTGTGTCCAAGGGCAGAATTTGTCCCTTTATATTTCATTAGCTGTACGATTCACACCTTAGTGATTAAAATTCTTGATAGCCTTTTCTTTCCAAATCGTAACTGTTGTAATAACAATCTGTGCCAAAATTTAGCATTACAGTGTCTTGGCCCCAGAATATTTATTATTTTTTAAAAATACCTGGACTCATCTATTCAGATGTTTTTAAGTTACAAGTGTAAATCGGATTTTAGTTGTACTGTTTTAACTCAAAAACAGTTTTGCTTATAAAATTGTAATGTCTGATCTTTTAGTTAGTATAAAAAATGAATGACTGCTTTGCTAGCAAGGCAGCTACTTTATAACACTTTGTTTATAATCAGTGTATTTTGATTTATGATTTATTCTGGCACTAAACTTTCGTACAAAAAAAGTAGTCTGTCCAGTCAAACCCACTTACTAGAAAATTGTATATACTATTTTGTATGTACCCCAGTAGACCAAAATGACGTAATCAGTTCTGGCTAGCCTATGAATAATGCACATTCTGTATCCTCTATTCAAAATAAGTAGTGATAGCCAAAGGCAGTGAAGGAAGTATCAAAAGTGTCTTTAAGGTAACATTAAAATTGTCACAAACTGACAGAAGATAGGAAATTCAAAGTTGAGTCTGACCCTCCATCCGTACCTTCAACCGTGTTGCCTTTTTTCTCTCTCTTCATGTTGAAGAGACTAAAGGATGAAGAGTATTGTCTTAACTATAAATTACCTGACTTTTATTACTTTATATATAGTCTTATGACCATTTATGATCCTTGGTCAGTTGAAGAACTCTCATTGATTTTAGTGAAAGTTGTGCATGCAGATCAAGGGCAGGTGACTTAATGATATTTAATTTTTGCTTTTAAAGTCGTTATTTTGATGATCTGCAAGTCTATTAACCATTTTAACAACCACTTCATGAGGAGTTACCTAAATTTGACTCTATATGTGTTAAATTATTGACACTCATATTGTCTATTCCAAGATGTACTTGACCGTGTCGATGTTCTACATGTGCAGCCTAAAAAGTAGGGGTACATTAGGCTGCATAATGCTGTGCTTTGTTTCATATTTACCACCTGTACTTGGTTTGGTTTGGGGTGTTTTTGTTTTTGTTTGGTTTGGTTTTTTTGGGTCAGTATTTTTAATTGGAATGAAAAGTTTTTAAAATTGTATTCTTTTTTGAAATGGTAAGTTTGTTCCTTTTTAATATTCAAAACAATATCGGCAGCTCTATCTTAGCACTAACAAATGTGGGGTGAGCCATACAAATGACATAGGTGGACTGTAGAGGACTATGTATATACTTATTTGAACTCCGTGGTAATGCAGACAGCCTCGTAATGTTTAAATGTGGGGACAATAATAAAATCTGTACAGATGAGGGGCTGAAAGTCAGGTGACTGTTAAAGTAGCTTTTTTTCTTTTTTTAATTATCATCTTTTCCCCCTCTAACTACAAAATCAAACACCACCGTAACTATGTATACTAGCATAAAAAATTGATTAACAGGATTGTATTTATTTTTATGTTGTGGGGGAAAAGTTTGTTAATTATATATATTTTTACAAGGTTTTAGTTCTTTAAAAAAGCCACCTGGCTTTCTTAAGAGGAAAAACCTGTGATTCAAATAACATTTTTTCAGGTAATGTTTTATCTGGCTAATAAAGCTGTTATGATAAAGCCATATACTGTGTACATTATGCCTTGAGTCTTCCTCTGAGTCTGTTCTGTTTATTAAATATAGCATTTTTTTGTTGCTTCTTTAAATTATATATGGTTTAAAAAGCCACACCACAGGGTTGTAGACTTAGCAATTCAAGCTGTGACCTGCATTTACTGACAAGATGGGTTTATTCTTTATTCCTGCTTACCTCTTGGAACCTGGTTACTTGTGTAACAAAATAGACTGACAGTGAACAGACGGATACTGCAGCTGATGGTGAAACTACTGCCACAGAGGTTTGTACAGTCACCAGCATATAGTTATCAAAGAATGTAGCATGTAGCTTCACCTCTCTCAGATCCTGTATATTAGCACTATTCTGTGCCTCTGTTGCTGCAGTTTAGATACCTTTCTGTATATATGTGTGTGTTGAAGAGTTTGATTCCTTAAGTTTCAAACATCCATTCTAGATTCATTTTATTTTGGGTTTCTTTTTGGAAATTTGGGTAAACTACTTTGTGTATTGTGTAGGTAACAGATGGTAGTAAAGTAACTTGAACAAATGCCGTTTCCCTGGGCTGTAATGCTGACTGAGGTTGTGTTATCTTGTTTTTAAGATGAACATGTTAAGGAGAATTAAATGTGAGACTGTGCCTTGAATTCTGTTTAACATGTAACATTTATAATACATGTATTGTTACATGTATTATTTTCAGAGGATGAAAATAAATAGCTTAGCCCTCTTCCTCAAATAAACAAACAAAAACCTAAAAACATATACAATATAGTAAGTATACTGAATACACAAAATTCAGCCCTATTACAACTCCAGTGAAGAGGGTGTAACTTCTCGTTAATGGAGTTGCAGCTGCATACACCAGGGCTGAATTTGATAAAATATGAGGTAAAGCCGCACAGTGTTATCACATATATTATTAAAGGGTTTCAAAAGGATCCAATCACTATTTCAAATTATTATAATTTAAATCACCATCAGGGAAATATTCTGTATGCAGCATATCAGTGGCAATCAGATCTTGCCTGTAAATACAGTAGACTTGAATTGAGTGATAAAGTGAATGTCAAATACAGAATTTGCAGTTATTTGAATAATTAAGAGTAAATTTTAAAATATCAACAAGAAAATCGTGGCCCAAAAATCAGCAGAACCTATTATGAAACTGACATTATTAATGTTGATACCAGTAGAAAAAATAGAATTCTGTATTGTGTTTCCTGTCTAAAAAATTATTTTTAACTATACTGAAAGGATATATTGAAAACATTTAAGCTAAATTTTCACAGATAGAGATTTTGGAACCCTGAACTTTTGAGTTCCTAACATAGTGTCTTATTAGGGACCTGCTTTTTCAGAAAGCATTGAGCACCTGACAGCTAATAAGGGCCTGATTTTCAAATGTCTCAAGTTGGGCACTCACAAACTGAAGCAACCAGCAAATCATCAGTCACTTCAGAAAATTTAGGATCCCAATGAGTATGCCATTCCAGAGTGCAGTTCCTATAAGTGGATCCAATATAGCTAAAACGTGTGTATAAAAACACTCAGAGACAGAGAGAGAATGAATAAAATTAGTGAAATAGCATTTTATGGAATCAGATGATGCTCCAGCTTTGTATGCAGCATTGTGCACTGTTACCCTGCTTCAAAGTTTGTAGGAGATTGCTAGTGGACCATTATTTATAACTTTTAAACTCGGGGTGTCATATAGATCTGAAGCTCTTACTATTAGCATTAAAGTATAATACAACATTACATCTCAGTAGGAAGTCTGAATGCTGGCTCATAAATGGATAGAGGATCTGTGAATATTTGAGCACAAAGACGTACAGAAAAAAATGAAGTTTTAATATCCTTTTTTCACATATAGCAAGTTCAAAAGAAGGCTCTTGTATTAGATATGAGAACTATGCAAGGTTGGGTTGATAAATGTGTCCACCCATTTCTCCAACGCTCTCAGTGGAGAGAAAATGTGATCTTAGCATTATAAAATATACGGATCAGCTTTTGTCACCTTACATTGATTTGTGTTGGTAAGGTTTTGTTTTCACATCTTTCCTATGCTGGCAGTCGGATCAAGAGGAAGATGGAGATCTCAAGGCACAGGTACAGAATGGAAGGCCATGAGCATTACTGAATTGTGGGTGTCCGCAGTGTTCATATCTCTCAGCATGCCATTTGCCAAGTCTTTGTGAAGCAATGCATAGAACAGCATTTTGTATCCTTTGAATATTGTGTCCCTTACCTTTCCCTTTCTTTTCACTTCTTTCAGAATAGTCTGATTAAGCGAATAAAGGGTGAAAATGTGTATGTCAAACATAGTAATCTTATGTTAGAGGTTGGTATTGGTATATACCAGTGCATGTACTGTACATGTGTGTTGGTTTTAGTGGTAAACCTGTGGATCTGCACTATGATGCATGAACCGTGTACTCCCACCTGCTAATAAATTAAATGGCTATTTTTTTCTCAGATTACGATGGCTTTCTCTACCTTGTTCCATAAATATGTGTGTATATATGTTCAAAGTTCTTTATCAGGTATAGCTTATAGTGTATATGGGTAAACTTAGGAGTATTTTATTGCTCACATGAACTAGATTTTCTGTGCAGTTATCCTTCAAAATATCACATTTTCACAAGTGTTGTGTTAGTGCCGTGATCCCTGATCCCCTAAAATACTTACTACCTTCTTCACTAACCAATTTGCACATTTTGATTTTTACATTTTGGCAGCTTAGGTGAATGTTACAAAATGCCCTTGTTTTTATATTATCCAGGAGCTAGATAAAAATCAAGAAGACCTGATGAAACACCAGACCAATATAAGTGAACTGAAACGAACTTTCTTGGAAACCTCCACAGACACTACAGTGTCTAACGAATGGGAGAAGAGGCTTTCGACATCTCCAGTTCGGCTTGCTACAAGACAGGAGGAAGCTCCTATGATTGAACCACTTGTGCCTGAAGAGGTCAGTGCCCATCTTTTCATCAGACTCAGAATCATAGAAATGTAGGGCTGGCAGGGACCGTGAGAAGTCATCAAGTCCAGCCCTCTGTGCTGGGGCACAACCAAGTAAACCCAGACCATCGTTGATAGATGTTTGTCCAACCTGTTCTTTAAAACCTCTAATGATGGGGAATCCACAACCTCCCTTGAAAGCCAGAACTTAACTGCCCTTAGAGTTAGAAAGTATCTAATCTTCCCTTACTGCAAATAAAGTCCATTACTTTTTGTTCTGTCTTCAGAGGACATGGAGAAGAATTGATCACAGTCCTTTTTATAACAACCCTTTAACGTATTTGAAGACTATTATCAGGTTCCACTCTCCCTCAGTTTTCTTTTCTCAAGACTAAACATTCCCAGTTCTTTAACCTTTCCTCGTAGGTCAGATTTTTTAAACCCTTTATCTTTTTTGTTGCTCTCTTCTGGACTCTCTCCAATTTGTCCACATCTTTCTTAAAGTGTGGCGTCCTGAATTGGACACAGTACTCCAGCTGAGGCCTCACCAGTACCAAGTAGAACAGGAAATTACCTTCTTTGTCTTTCATACACACTCCTGTTACTATATCTGTCAACTGCTCTTGGTGCAGTCTCTCTAGGGGTCCCAGCTTTTTCCTAACGGTCCCGTTAAATTCATCTGCAGTTTAAACCAGTCCATAATTTCTTAACTTAAATTGAGTCTACCAGCCTTTAAACTCCAGGGCTTACCGTCTCCTTTTGTCAGTTTCTCAGAGGCCGCCTGTTGCCCCTCTTCTATCCCAGACCTTTCTGCCCCCTTTCTCTCTCTGTTCTCCATCCTTTATAGCTGGGCTTGTTTTCTTTATTGGTCCGATCTGTGAGTGCATGTTTCCACGATTGGTGGTTCTAGTAGCTGTGCTGGGGTGTGGTCAGTCTGATTGCCTGTAAACAGGAAAGACTCTCCTCTCCCTTCTGCCTATGCTCAGTATAGGGTTTGCAAACCCCATTACATAACCCCAGAATGATTATTAGGCTTTTTTGCAACTGCATCACGTTGGTGACTCATATTCAATTTGTGATGCACTGTAACCCCGAGATCCTTTTCAGCAGGTCTACTCCCTCACCAGTTAGTCCCCATTTTGTAGTTGTGCATGTGATTTTTCCTTCTGAAATGAAGTACTTTACACTTACGTTTATTGAATTTCATCTTGTTGAATTCCGACCAATTCTCCAATTTGTCAGGGTTGTTATGAATTCTAATCCTGTCCTCCAAAGTGCTTGCAACTCCTCCCAGCTTGGTGTCATCTGCACATTTTATAAGCACAGTCTTCATTCCATTATCCAAGTCATTAATGAAAATATTGAATAGTTTTGGACTTTGGACTGACCCATGCCATGCACCACTGGATACGCATTCCCAGTTTGACAGTGAACCATTGATAACTACTCTCTGATTTGTTCTTGACAAATCCATGCTGTCTATTCTTTATCACCTATTACCCTCTATGTATTTTATTTGCGGTCGCTCCCATTAGGTGCTAGGTGCTTACCAAGCACTTGAAGGCATTCTCTGTTCTGAGGAACTAGCAATCTAAAGGCAGAGGTCAGGGAAAGGGGAAGAACAGTAGGCAACTTGTATGCAATTTATAGATTACTCAATAAGATTCACTGTAAGCAGCATAGCAGAGGTAGGTCTTTAAGAGGGACTTAAATGTGGATAGGGTTAGGGGGTCTGATGAGCTGGGGATGGGGGGTGAACCAGCCCAGAGGGCTTCATGAAAGAAGGCATGGAGGCAATTGTATGAAAATCTGGCAAATGTGTGGACAAAGGTCAGGAGCATTAGCAGAGCAGAGGAGGAGGAGGGGGTGGCAAGAGGGAGTAGGTAGGGAGGAGCAGAGTTATTTAGAACTTTGAAGATGGTGATGTGTTAGTTATGCCCAATTTGCCAGTTTCATAATCCGGACTAACATTTTGTAGGCACTAGCTGTAAACTACGTGATAAATTTTCATTTGCAACCAGCTTGAAAGGCTAGATTGCCAAAAGTAAAAAGCTGGTGCACTAAGTGGTCAGGAAATGCTCGCAGAAGAACTTTCCAACAAAAATGTGACTTTTAAGTTCAGCATAAATCGTGTGGTTTACGATATTGACAGAAGTGGTATTGTAACATCAAAACAACCTAAGATGCTAGGCTGCCTTACCATTCCTAAGTGTTCAAAGAGAATGGGGAATATGGAGCCTTCCATTAGTTTGAATCTAGTCCAAGTCAGTAGGGACTCAGAGTTATTACCAGTGGTCTTCATGAGAAAACTCATACTCTTAATCCAGTTCCAGAAGCATCATCACTAATGTCACTAACTGTTAGTATTAAAGTCCAGTGACTGAATGATCATGGAAACTGAATGCCTGTTGGGTTGTACTTACAGAAGGACGTGTGACAAAGTTCCTCCTCTGCCTTGGTGGGTGTCATGAATATAAAGGGACGGGTGACCACCTTTCTGTATACAGTGCTATGAGGGTCCCTCCTGGCCAGAGGCACAAAATCCTGTAAAGGGTTAAGAAGCTCAAGTAACCTGGCTGGCACCTGACCAAAAGGACCAATAAAGGGACAAGATACTTTCAGATCTGGGGAGGGGGAGGAAAGGCTTTTGTTTGTCTGTTCTGTTTCACCCCTTTATATATCTTTTGCATAAGGGGTGAATGATCATTCATGTTTAATTCTGTTTGCTAGTGTTGTGGAAAATTGACCACACGGTTGATTTTGGATCAGATGGCCTGAGGCTCCTTTATTGATCAATCAAACATGCATGCATGGGGGAATCAGCTAAGGCAGCCGAACACCCCTGACAGATAAAATGCAAGAGATTATATAGGATAAAACCACAAAAATTACATATACTTCCTTAAAGTTTTACATCCATATAAGAAATAAAGCAAAACAAGTTTTCCTGTTTTTCTTAGGGTTTTTTTTGCGCTTTGCGATTTCTTGCTCTGTCACCTGACATCTATTAATCATAGTCTGTTACAAAGGTTAATTCTACTTTTATAATTTCTACAGTTAGTTCTGCTTTTATGATTTTTGTCTACTCTTCTCCTTTTACTCCCTCCCCCCACCTTTTCTCCTTCCTCCAGGCCACACATACAGTTCACCTGACCCTACATACAGTTCACTTGACCAAAGTTTAGGCCTTAGAGCATTTTTCCTCCACACTAGTTTCTCATATGAAATAGTCTGGCAACGAATGGTATGCTTGTACATTAGAAATGTATGAAACATAGATAAGTTTATGTATGGTATAGAATAAGAATGCATTTCAGTTATTAAAACTGTCTACTCCCTGGCCCTCTCTTATTCATTAGACCAAAGAAGAAAAAGAAAAATCTGAAAAACTTATATTTTTGCAGAAGGGAAGTACTACATTCCTGGAGTCGCAGGTAAAAATGAAACATACTTTCTTAAAATGCAATCAAATAGACTGGCACGGAGTTACTCTTTTGCTATCATTTTCCTTTTCAAAACCACAACATTCTGTTAAAAAAAGCTCCACAAGTAGGTATGTTATTGTGGGCAGAATGCTGGGGAAGGAGAACAAGTATCCTACAAAGTTTTTGTCTACCTACTAGAGATTTGTTTCACTGTGGTTAACAGCCTTGGGTGAGTGGATTTGGGCGAGGGGAGAGTTCTCTAACTGTGCATGCATTTGCAGAGTACAGAAGTCTCACTGAAAATGTTACAGTGAATGAGGCAATGTTGTTGTTAGAATGAATTTCCTTTATGGTGTCAAGTGAATTCAGATGATCTTGATGATTAAGTTTGAATTCTTACTGGTTTTTCCATTAGCCAAGGGAGATAGAGAAGAAGCTGCAGGAAGGAGAATCTGCTGGCACTGTTGTTACTTCTCATCAAATCATTTTCCAGAAAAGTGTTCCATCATCCTTAGAGGTTATTTTTAATTAATTTTTATTTAAATCAGTGCATTGGTTTAGTTGAATAAATTAAACTATTGTTGGGATAAATAATTGGACACTGTGTACTTTGAAACTAGGGTGACCAGATGTCCCAATTTTATAGGGACAGTCCCGCATTTTGGGTCTTTTGCTTATATAGGCTCCTATTACACACACACCCCGTTCCAATTTTTCACACTTGCTGTCTGGTCACCCTAATTGAAACTAAATCACATAGCATACTTGTATATGTATATAGGCACATTACATTTGTATATTATGTTCAAACAAAATCCACAATACTCAGGATATTTAATATACTGTATAGCTAAATTTAAATGCTAGGGGAGTCTGATTTAGTCCCATAAAAGCAAGGAAACTCAGTTAAGACTCTGGCATATACAAACATGTGCTGTCCTGAGACCTCAAAATACTTTCACAAAATAATATTTGCATGGGAGTGGGGGGGTGACTGAATGGGCTAGTTATCCTATTTTTATAACTTGACCTTCATTTTAAAGAAATAGGGTATTGTTATGGTGCATGAGCTTACAGCCAGCCAGGATTACTCAAAAACAGCCAGTCAGATGTGTTTTTAATTTTTTTAAAATGCTACTCAGCTGCAAGTTATCAGAGTCAGACTGTGCCACATTATAAATGGCCTCAAACAGGGGTCACAAAAGAAACTCTTCGCAGATTTGATGTTGCAAACAGTGATGCTGTTTATAAGTTTAATTGCTGCTGTACCCGGTACAGCTATTACATGTTCTCAAAATAGCTACCTCAGATTTCTTAAGTTTTTAATATTTTAGTGTTCCTAAAACAAAAATAAACAATTGGATAATCTAATGTAGCTTTTATATTTCAAATATAGGGCTCTGAGGATTGGGTTATTGTAGACAAAATACCTACTGAGGTAGTTGATGGTGAATCGAAAAAAATTGTGACATACAAAGTAATGACTGTGCGCAGTAAAACTGGTGACATTCCACCTGAGATATTAAAATCCAGTACCATTGAAATGCAAAGCTTTGAGGACTTGGAATATGAAATACAATCAAAAGAGGAGAATAAACAGAAAATGTACACCTTAGGAAAGTCCTATGACGCTGTATCCGGGAAAATTGTAACCATGACAAGTAAAGCTAAAGAGGGAGAGAAAACAGTGCAGTCATCACTAGAAGCATTTCAAAAAATGGAGAGGGGAATGCCAGAATCTGTGAAAATCATTCCAGTAGTGGCTGAATATGAAATTCTAGAGCCCATCACAGACGAAAAAGCCAGGAGGGGATCCGATGTACAGAGTACAAAAAGAAAGCTGTCCGAATCTTTGACACCTATAAAGGAAGCAGAGTCTCAGTTGCATAGTCCTGAAGAGGAAAGTTTGAAGAAAGCACAAAAGATGGACCAGGATTTTCATGGTACACTGGGAAGTTTGCAGTTTGGCAGAGCTGAAAAGCACCTTGACAGTGAAGCTCTGAAAGCAGGGGCATTTGGTCGGAAAGATAAGAGCCTATCTGAGTGGAGATATTCCAGAGAACAGCCATTTACCATTGCTACTGCTCACTATGTTTCTGAGTCGTCTGCATCAAGAGTAGTGGTAACAAGTGGCTTTGACTTTGTGCCACAATTTAAAGATTAAAGCATGACTTTTTTAGGCAATACCCTCACACTACCCTACCTTTCGGTTCTCTTGCTGCTTGGCTTTATGTTGACAATAGCCAACCCAGCTTATTTTTTTTTCTCATGGTTTAAGTCAGTACCACAGTCCAAAGCAGGCATTATAATGCTTTAAACTTTTCAAGTTTATTTAGAGATTCATGTTGCTGAAATGTAGTATTGCTGCTGTGGCTTGTAATGGGGGTGGAAAAAAAAGGTTTGCTTGAACCAGCAAAATCCCAGTGCTAACAAGTATGCTTTTAAATTACTGCTTATAGTCATTACAGATTTGTGCTCATTTATTTTCCCATTCTTTTCCTGTTTTCAACCTGTCTGTGTCCTTGCAACCTTATCCTCCTTTCCTCTGTCTCAGCCTAGAGTTTTGTCAATTAACATATCTGTGTGTGTCTGTCTGTCTCTCTTTTGTGTATGACTCTGCATTTCTTTGTCCACTTAGACTAAACAGTCCTCCAGTGAAAAAACCTTGGATGGTTCAGATATCTTCAGTTTATTAGAGTCTGCGAGAAAACCAACTGAGTTCATAGGAGAGGTTACTTCTACTTCACATAGCAGGGCTCAGGTGGCCGTTTGATTCCATCTATGAATTTTATAACTGCACACTACTGATTTTTGTTTTTCTTTTGTTCCCTATATTTGCACATAAGTGTGTTTGACTCATAGATATTTCAGAATCTGCATGGTTAATATTAATGCAAATGGTTGGTGTGCCTTTTACTTCCTAAGCTAGATCACAACTAGAAACCTCACAAGAAAATCAAGTTCTATTCCTTTTTTTTTCTTTTGTCATTTTACAGGATATTTTATTTGCGTTTAGAATGCTAGGGCATTGATACAAACAAAAAGGATAGTATGAGATTTCTTCTCCCCTTTTTAAATGCTGATTCATGGTGCGCTTTTGCTATAATAATTACCTTAAAGTGAAAACTTAAGCAACTCAGGAGAAACAAAATGGCAAACTTTAATATCATTTGTTACTTATATTTACAGTACATTGGCATTAGGAGCTGGGTTAAGTTTTATTTTTCACTTCTGACATTTAGATCCATTTCCCTACAGAGAACGGAAACAAAGACCGGCCAGGAGATAAGTGTCAGCGAAATGAAGGAAGAGATTCGGCCATATCAGGATGCAGTGAAGAAGGTTGTGCAGGAGACTGTATTGGTCGAGGAGAGATATGTGACGAATGTGCATGCAAGTGGGGATGCTGTTAAATTGGCTGGAGATCAGCTGGATGCTATGGCACAGGCAGGATCTGCTGTTGCTTCTAGTATGAAAGGAAAGGAGGGTTCAGCTGTGACTGAGGGGGCTACAGAGGAAAAAAGGGAGGAGGCTGATAAAGCTGTAACCAAACGGGAAGAAATTGCTGCTGCTTCTCATCAGCAAGAGGAGGAGCAGAGTGCAACAGTCCACGTTTCTGATACATTGGAAAGAAAACCTCATTTTGAGGTAACTAGTTATTAATAATCAGTTATTTCTGCATTGAAGTATAAGGCAGTGATACTCAGACTGAGGCTCGGGAGCCGCATGTGGCTCTTTAATGAGTCTCCTGCAGCTCTTTGCAGCACATGATATTAAAACACCGTGTGATTTAATTATTAATCAGTCAGGATATTTTTGCTATATTATTAACCAATTGTAGAATACTTGGTCAGTCATTTTGCTGTGAGGGAAAAAAAATCTATATCTAGATATATAATATAGACACACATACATACTCACATGCGTGTGTGTGTGTGTGTATGTGTATGTATATATAAAAAAAAATGAAACAATGAATTTACACTACCGTGGCTCTTTTGGGTAATGATGATTGCTAATTTGGTTCCTGACCCGCTGAGGTTTGATTATCACTGGTATAATGTATACAATATTGGACTAAATTAACTGCACTGATGAAGAGTTAAATAAAATATACGCAGGTAGTAGATTACATTATCTCATCTTTATAGTGGGCAGTTTGTTTCTCCTCTTATTTCTTTCTTGCATGGCAGTTCTGAGGCTTGTTGCTGGTTTCCATTATCGACAACATCAGGGCCGGCCTTAGGGAAAATGGCGCCCTGGGTGAACTTGTATTTTGGCGCCACTGGTCCCTGCTGCCTCCCTGGGCTCCCCAGCCCTCCATCGCCCTCAGGCCCCGCTATTTTCTTCCCCATTGCCCTGAGCTCCCTTCCACAGCCTCACACCCCAGGCCTGCCCCACTCCTTTCCTTTTGAGCATGGCATCCCCCTGGACCACAGAACCCTGGGCAGTCGCCCAGGTCGCCCACCAGTAAGGCCGGTCCTGGACAACATGCAATGTATATTTTACGTAAAGGAGTGTGCAGTGCTGAAGACTGTTGTCTTTTATGTAACTGATCATAAGGATCATAAGGAACTTTCCACTGCCTGTGGAAAGTTCATTAAGATTTATAGAGTTCACTTGTCCAAAAGGAACAGAAAATAATACATTCTTTTATGTTTGTCTCAATTGTAAATAATTTACCTTGTTTTAAACTACTAAGTTTTCTCATTTTAGCCTCATTAGCAGGATTTCTAAACCTATTTGTACTAAAGTGTTAAAAACCTTCATATTGTTTTGCTTCTCTTTCTGAGAGGTAATTACAAGAAAATAAACTTGTAATGTCAATCTGTTCTACTGTATTTTAAAATAAGCACATTTTTAATATTGACATCTTTTCTAAAGTTGACTTTCATGAATTACAGCTTAGCATTAGATATAAAAACTGCCTTGGAGTATTGTTAACATATATACATGTATGGACCATTATGCTGACATTTTTTTCCTTCCTGTAATGCAGAGCACATTTATTTTATTTTTTTCCACTCCCCAACAAAAAAAAATATCTCTGAGAAATCCAAAAGCTTTAATAAATGCTCCAATTACTTTTCCATTGAAGCAGTCACCAGTTGTGAAGACTGAAACCATCAGCTTTGGCAGTGTTTCTCCAGCTGGGGAGAAGCTTGAAATGTCTACCAAGGAAGTTCCCATAGTTCATACAGAAACAAAAACCATTACATATGAATCATCACAGGTAAGAAACTCTGCAAGATCCAAGACCTAATTTACCAAGGGCTAAAAAAGTACCTGAGTGTCAGCTGCTTTAAATATGTTACAGTATTAAATAGTAATATCACCCATAGTAAGTCTATACTAAACAGAAGAACTATATAAATATGTAGGTTTATCTGAAGGTACTCTTATTTGTACCAGTATACAGTCTTTTGTGAACACTGCTTAGACTACAAGACTTTGATGTATATGTTTAAACATATATCCTTAAAAAACTGTATGAGACACATTGTAATACAAACAAAAGTACTGTTGTAAACTTATGAGGTGATGCAAAATTCTGAAGTAGAAATGTAAGTAATGAAACAATATCTAAGTCCTATGGGACAGGTCTGACAGGTCTCCTGGCCATTAAAGAACCACATGATTCTTTTTGTAAGAGTATTACAAAAAGAATATTAAGAGATTCTCAATACAATAAGATATTAATTTTGGTGTTCGGATTAAATACCAACTCAAGCAATTACATTTTACCTCTGAATTCTGCAGGCAGTTCCAGTTGCACGTAGAATTCTTTACTTCATGTTCCAACTGTTGATGTATATTGTTACGCAGCTGCTGCATTCCACTCTAGAAGTGGCCACAATAGGTGCTATTTGCAAAGCACTTTGAACACCACCAGGCATAATAGAAATGCTGTTGTTTCAGTCAAATGGAATAGCCTGTCAGCTATAAAGGAACATCCCAGCAGCAATTAGTTTATATCATCAGCCACATTCTTTATGCAGAAGTCTAGAGACAGGAAAGCTCAGCCAATAGCTCCATTTTTCACGAACAATTTGTGGCATTTTTTTTTCTTTTGGCTATTTAGGCAGATTCTGGTGCTGACTCAGAGCCAGGTGTGTTGATGAGTGCACAAACCATCACATCTGAAACTACCAGTACTACAACTACTACACATATCACAAAAGTAAGAAAATGAGGGGTTCAGTCCTTGAATAGATGTATTTCAGAACTTGGACATGACTGTATAAATCAATATTTATTTCAGAATATGGATGCATGCTAATATTTTCTGTGTGAAATCCTATCTAGCGTATATACTTATGTAGTCCCCACGGCAGTAGTGTCTGAGCACCTCACAACATCCCTGTACGAGGCACAAAGAGATTAGGTGGCTTGCCCAAGGTCACCCAGTAAGTCTGTGGCAGAGCAGGATATTGAATCTCGGTCTTCCAAGTCCCAGGCTAGCACCCCAATCTCTGGACCATCTTTTCTCCCTAAGCATAACTCCCATTAACCTCACCGAGTATGTCTACACAGCAAAGAAAAACCTATGGCTGGCCCATGCCAGCCGACTCAGGCTGCGGGGCAGTTTGATTGCTCTGCAGGCTTCTGGGTTCAGGATGGGGTCTGGGCACTAGGACCCTATGGGGTGGGAGGTCCCAGACCTCAGGCTCCAGCCCAAACCCAGAAGTCTACACAGCAATAAAACAGCCCCACAGCCCAAACCCCGCAAGCCCACGCCAGGTGGCACAGGCCAGCTATGTGTGTCTAGTTGCTGTGCAGACATACCTACTGGGGCCGGGATTTAAGCCTATCTGGGTGAAATTAATCTCTAGACAAAGGAGTCACACAAGGCCACACCCCATTTAAGAGCCCTCACAATAGGACTTAAGTGGGAGCAGAGGCTTTGTGTTTCCCCTGTTGTGCGTATAGATATGCTGTGTATCCATGCTTTTCTTCATATGTTGGAAGTGTTTCTTTGAACAAGCAGCACCACTTTTAAATTAGTATGTTTATTTGTATTTGTTCCTCTCACTTTTAGACTGTGAAAGGAGGCATTTCAGAGACAAGAATTGAAAAACGAATAGTCATCACAGGAGATGCCGATATTGACCATGATCAGGTAGAGTATATAAGCTACGAAAAGCTGCCTTGAACTGAAAACTACCAAAGAGGGAATATTTAACCTTAAGCTTTAAAACACTGTTCATACTGGCATGCTTTAAACTGGATTAGTATTTAAATCAATGATAGTATATTTTAATCATTTTTCCTCATTTGTAAATTGTGTAATTTCTCATGAATCTCTCCACCTTGCTACTGATCATGCATGTTCCACCTCCTTTTTGTTTTTGCCCTTCTGTGGTTTCCTTGGGCTAGGCGCTGGCTCAGGCAATTAAAGAGGCCAAAGAGCAGCACCCTGACATGTCAGTGACCAAAGTAGTGGTACATAAAGAGACAGAAATCACACCAGAAGATGGGGAGGATTGACCCACAGGTAAGAGGAATAGATGATTTTCCTAGGCACTCACTGGGCTGGCATGCAGCAAAGGCATTCTCCTTCCATAATTCACCTCTAACTCCTTATTTCTCTCACTGGCATTTGCAAAAACCATGTGAGCCAAGTATTAATTCTGGAATTTGCCTCAGATGTAAATTATACACATTTAGTTCAATGTATTTTTCTTTGTTTAATAGTGCCAGTTAGAGAAATGGAAATTGGCTTTTGTTGGCTCTCTGGATGTTACTCATCCATGCTTTGATGTATTCCTAAAATTTCTAACTCTGCGATCAAAAATCTGTTGTCTGTTTATATATGTGTCTTAAGAACAAAGGCATTTTGTTCTTAAAGGTACAATTTTAATTTCTTTTAAAATGCTGAGGGAAATAATTATAGCTACTTACCCTATTTTAGGCACAAATATGGCACAATTTAGGGTTTTAGTTCAAACTTGTAAAGCTGTGTGGTCCAATTTTCTTTTTTTAACCCCAAATTAATTGTTGTGTCAATATTTGGCTGTCTTGACTTCCTTGTATTTTGTAAGGACATTTTGTGTTTGAAAGTGGCATTGTTTCTCAGGATGAGATAATAATGCAGCTTTTCTTGTGTCAAGCTGTCTTCAGTAAAGGCATGCTCTCCAACTAAGTTTGGCTAAACAGTCATCTTGATAATATTGTATTTACTGTATGTGCAGAAACATATCATGCATACTAACCTGCTATGCAAGAGCTCTTAATGACAGCATCATCCATAGGCTGCTTTGAATGCTGTATGCACACACACAAAAAGAGGCTGCTTGTCTAATTTGTCTGAAATGATAGCAGCATCATATTCTTGAAGCACTATGTATTCCCTAGCATTTGGTATAAGTAACATTAATATGATGTGCAGCATCTCTTGAAAGTTTACTGCTTTCCTGCTTTGGATGAGGAAATATAAATGCCTAAAGCAAATGTGAGTAAGACCACTACTACTTATTTTGGAAGATGGAGACAGTCCTTAAGGAATGAGCACCAATAACAATTATGGTCTTCTGCTAATCAGTTCAGAGAAAACAGTGAAGTGGCCTGATCCAAAGCCCACTGAAATCAATGGGGGTCTTTCCAATGCACCTTGGATCAGGCCCAAGGTTGGCAGTTACTTATACTGGAATCATGTGGTTATAATATTGTTGTCACCTGAAGTATTCAACATGAGCCCCTTTTCACCTATGATTTGAGAGAGAGGGAAACTCAGTTGTTTCAAATAATTAACTCGGTTCTCTTTCCTGCAGGAATAATTTAGCTTGCATACGAATCCAGTCATGCACACCCTTAGGAATACCAGAGCCTATATGGAGTCTCAGTTCTAACCTGACTGACTTGTATCTGTCCATGGAAAATTTCAGTACCGAAGAATTGATCTTAAACACTAATAAAGACACTGGCAGAGATATTTTCCCGTATAAAGCAATCTGAATCAGCATCAGTAAAACAATATTGCATGAAGCAACGATAAATTTACAGAAAAGCAGCATTTTAAATTTTCATTATATCTAAGTTTTCCGCTATACCTGCACGTTCATAAACAATATAAACAGTGATCTAATGTAACACATAAACAGTTCATGCCTTTCACGTTTTATTAAATCTAAACATATTACAATTTGTTAGGTGGCAAACCTTTTGTTTATGGATACTGTAAATGAAGATTACCCTAAACTGCTAGAAGCTGTATAGGTACTGTGTATAATGTTTTATCACACATTAGATGTGCCAATAACACAGTTTATTCAGGAAACAATTTGAATCTTGTATTTGTTTTATCTGGTTTTATTACTGTTGCCTGATAAAAAATGATGAATCTCTAATCTTATCAAAATATTTAAATTCTTACAAAATGTGCTTTGCATACCTGATTTAATACCTTGTGAGGTAGTAAAGATTTCAGCACATTTACTTGACTTCAAGATTTTTTGTCAGCATTGTTCAGCGTTAAAGTCAGAAAGTTTCCAGTCACCCTTCAGAAGTTCTAACCCTGTTAATTATATGTAGTTATTTTGGAGAAAATCTGTATTTTCCTTAGTTTATAGTGTTACAAAATTATTATTCTGAAATAACCTTGATGGTTTTTTATTGACTTCCCTTTTGTTCTCAGAGAAAAAAACGTTTCATTTCAGAATCTGGTTAGCAGCATTTACTATCTAGTTCAGAGCCAAGCCTTAAACTGTACAGAACATCCACTGAAAACTCATTAGTATTCCGTTATAATATCCACTGAAGGGATATAGTCTCCATTACACTCTCAGCTGCGTCACAATACATGGTGAATGTATGTTTCTGCATAGTGAAATAAAAGTGGTAAATGCATCCAAAATTGTATTGTTCTGTGTCTAAAAGAATCCAGTGTTTTTTATATTCAAAACCCAAGTAATATCTGTATGATATCAAAGGCTTTATTCATCTGCATAGTAGATGTGTCCTGTCTTACAATGGACCACAGTACGCCGTGCAGACAACTGGAGTTTGCAGGGGAGCCTACGGGATAATAATATGAAAATGTACTCCTTTGAGTAAAATGATGTTCGCAAAGGAAAAAGAACATTATGCTTCTTTTTTCTATAGCGGTGTACTGTGTTTCAATTACGTTAAATGGAAATTATTTGTGTTTGGCTAACAAAATTATAATGAAAATGTAGCACTGGCTCAAGATCTGTTTTCGTTTCTATTTTTGCTCTGAATCATGGATGAATTATCTATTTAAGAGAATCCTTACTTTTCTGTTTGCTGTTGCTTGCTCCTTGACCACACTTGGATGGCATTCCCTTGGGGATTTAAGATGGATTTGTAGAGGCTTAAATCATCCTTCAATCCATAAACCCTGGTAGGATGCAAGAAATAAATACAAGTGAACTTGTGTACATGGGGCTCCCTCTCATTGACTTCAGTGGAGGGCAGGATTTGGCCCATAGATTTGTTACAAGTATTTATTTTCTTAATTTAGAAAGAAAGAAAAGAGAATATATCAAGAGAATAATTTGTAGTTAATAATTAAAAAGAAATCGCCTGAGGCTTTGACTGCTCTACTGTCTCTCTAAAATGATGTTTTAAATCAGCCATTCTTCATGTCTTTGTTGTTTAAGACCTCCCTTTATGTATCTCCCCTTCTAGCACATCAGTCATCTCTCACCTATTACCTAATGAATAATGCAAAGATTGTGTTCTTATGTTCATATTTTTGGAGTTCTCTTCCTGACCCTCTTCCTAATATAACAGAATGTGTCTATAAATTCTGTTCCTTCCTAGAATTGGATTTCTTTCCTCCCCTCTCCCCCCCTCCCCCCACTTCAGCTACAGAGAGAAGAGGTATCTACCCTGTTTCTCAGCAGACTACATTCCAGGCTCTTGCTTCTGTATTAAGAGTTTAAAAATAGACTCTGAAGCCATATTGATCTTCCCTCAGGTGGCCCTTACCTTGTCAGCTAAGAAACAGCATTATGTTACCTCAGAGATGTGAGTGGCTACTATACTGCCTTCTGTCCAGAGTTACCCTTAGCATTATATTTTAGCATGGCTTGAGGGAAATGTACTATAGTGATTATGTACAGTATGTATGCTGTCTGAAGATACTGTATCTTTGAGGTTAGTCTCCTTCAAAAGCTAGGGTATGGCCTAAGCATGTTACAGAGTAAGAGAAGATTAGAGTGGATCGGCGATGACATCTCAGTCATTGTTAGCAGCAGACCTTTGTTTGGGGTAATTCCTCGGAATGGTCCTGGGAATAATAGTTTTGATTTTTGTTAGTGACTGTTTCTTGGGTTGTCTGCCTAATGCTGTGCCACATGAAATAAAGAACACTTTCCTGTTTCTACCAGATGCCTTTTGTCTCAGTCTCTTCTCACTTGTCCAGCTCTGAGCTGTACGACAGTCCCTACAAACAAACTGTCACAAGACCTGCACCATTACTAACACAGACCAATACAGAGAGAAATCTCACTCATTACAGCTGGAATAATAATTTCTGACAATACAGCACTGTCTGAACAGGCTGTTCTGCATCATTAAGATAAGGGATCCTGATGTGTAGGTAAAAAAGAAACATAGCAGGCGTCACCATTCTAGATACAGAAAGTATAAATACAATAATCTCATAATCATTAAAAACAAATACTGTCCTTAGGAATCAGTTAGTATTGATCTTTCTTAAGCTTTTTGAGGCTACTACCACATAAATAATAAGTAATGTTGACCAAGTTCAAGCATTATAGGAATTTTCTGATGGGCCTCTCTATTCAGAAATTAGATCAGAACCTGAACCAACGTCTTCACCCATATTCTTCAAATAGACAAGACTTGTTCAGATGGAGAAAGGGTGGGGGCTGACAAATATTCACTTTGTCAGCTCCCATTCAGATATTGTTCCTTGTTAGCACATTTTCAGGTAAATTAGACAATGAGGCCATGCTTCAGTCTTGCAACCAACTTGTAATTCAGGAAAATCTGATACCGATTTCCTTTGTTTTCTCATAAAAGATTGTGGGACATAATCTGAATTTCAGTATTTCATTTAATGTCATTTATTGGCTTTTCCATGTAGTTGTGAACCATAGAATCTTCCCAATTCACAAGTACTAGTGGTGAGATATTAGTATCCCCATTTTATAGATGGAGATTGAATGCACAGAGAGGCTATATGACTCGCTCAAGAAATCTGTGACAGAACTCAACCCTGATCTTCTGAATCCTACTCCCATGTCTTAACCTTTCTTCAACTTGAGTGCTAGTTTAACTTATGTAAATATTTTGTTTATACATCCGTTGTTATAACATCTGGGCACATGGCATATGTTATATATAAAATATTGAAGCTGCCAGCAGTAGACAACACTTTAGATTATCCTTGCCTGTCATAAAGAAACATAACAGTGCACAGTTAATAATAATAAATGGAGATATACCTATCTCATAGAACTGAAAGGAACCTTGAAGGGTTATTGAGTCCAGTCCCCTGCCTTCACTAGCAGGACCAAGTACCAATTTTGCCCCAGATACCTAAATGGTCCCCCTCAAGGATTGAACTCACAACCCTGGGTTTAGCAGGCTAATGCTCAAACCACTGAGCTATCCGTCCCCCAAATGCTTGATCAGCGTTACCTTGCATCATGCTTTGATAGTAACCCAAGGTTTGACAGACTATCAGCGACCCTATACTAAAACCCCTATACCTTCATTCTTCAAAGGTCTGTTAATACTAGCAAGAGGTCTTTAGCTGATTTCAGCCATTGCGGTGAAACATAAGGAAAAAAGGCAGCATCTCAAGCAAGCAAGTCCCAAACCATATACAGGTGATTGGACTGGAAGAGTGGTCTCAACCTTTTTCATATTATGGACACCCCTTCCCTCCCTACCTCTCAGTTTTGAATCCATGTCATCCCTGCAGCGACTATAGTGCCTGGTTATATGAAGTAAAAGTGTAATATATCAGGCCAATATTAAGGAGCTATAATGAAAACAAGCTACTTGGTTGCATCTCTCTGGGAAGAGGTTTTTTGTTCATTAATATTGAATCTCTTCATGTTGTCTGCAGCCCTTACTGCTCTAATCTCTCTCAAGATCCCTTTGCAGTTTAGTTCTGCCTCTCTGTATGTTTTATAGGTCTCCAATTTTGGTGGTGTCCACAAATTTGACCACAGCCAAATATATACCAAAGAAACTCCCAAAGAAGAGGGACAAAAAAGCAGTTGTTCAGGGAGATGCTTGTTTCTTGGAGTTTAGCTGATTAAAAAAAAACCCTCTGGAAACCCTAGGAGTTTTGGATTGAACTACAGCTAGTGGCAAGAAGCACAGCTGCTTGAATAAGACAAATGGTTCCACTTTGTGACAGAAGAAATTACATAGAACACCGTGAAGTGCTCTGTGGACCACCAGGCTTAGTTGCAAATATTTACTAAATATGAGTGCCAAGATGAGGGTTCATTCTATCATATAATTTCTATGTGGAAAAGAAAATGAAGGATTGTATTAATTCAATAACTCCCAAAGAGGGCATCATTCTCCAGGTGCAAATGCTGCTTGAGTTAAGAGTGCACAGAGGAAGCACCTTTATCACTAAAGTTTGTGCAACTTCAGAAACAAGAGATTCTTCTTCGAGTGCTTGTTCACATTGATTCCAATCAGGTGTGCGCATGCCGTGTGCATGGTTGTAGGAAACTTTTTCCCTTAGCAGCTCCTGTCGGGTCAGCTAGGGAGCCCCCTGGAGTGGTGCCCTCATATATATATGACCCTGCCAACCTGACCCCCCTTCAGTTCCTTCTTACCATCTGTGGCGGCATTGGAACTGTGTTTCGCTTACTTGCAAGTGTTCCCTTAGCCTGGTACCTAGTCCTACCCAGTTTCTTATTTTAGTAGATAGTGTATTGTTGTTTATAATTAGTATAGAAATTGGTGAGTGGGATCGTTCCTGTCCCGTTACCCTGCCTTGGGCTTCAGGGCATGCCTCAAGCCCAAGGGTTTAAGTCTTGCAGTGTATGCCGAAAGCCTATGCCTAATAGCGATCCCCACAACTCAGGCCTGAGGTGTCTAGGGAAGGTGCATCAGTCTGAGCACTGCAAGATTTGTAAGGCTTTCAAGCCTAGAACTAGAAAGGAGCGTGACTTCCATTTAAAACAGTCACTGATGGAAGCCACGCTCCATCCAGCAGCACCTGACTGCCAGGGCCCAGTGCGAAGCGCCCCGGCATGGGTCCGTGAATCAATGCCGAGGAAGGATGCTGGCACGAGAGATCCGTGGCACCGCAGCAAAGAGCAGGGCCCTGGCACCGCTCCACATCTCTGGTGCCCCACAACTGCCATAAGAAGGTGGACAGAGGGCGTTCTCCTCAGAGAGCTGTGAGACCATCAGTGGAGGCTTTGCTGCTCCAGAGGAAAGTCTCAGCTCCCAAGCAGCAAGAGCTCATGCCATCGACTCCGGCACCCCAAATGGCACCATTGAGCCCAGCACTTAGTGACTCTCCAGCGGGACAGGTGTCTACCCCGGTCACTTTTGAGGCTGCTAAGGAGCTCGTTGAAATAACTGCACCTCAGCCCCCGGCCATTAGAGAGAAACCTCCAGCACTGCCTAGACAGGTACCGTGTAGAGGCAAGCCTGCAACGATGAAGCTCTCCTCATCACTGGGCCAACACCGTTTCAGGTCCCCATTGCCATAATACTCCCCGGCACCAGCCTTGGTACAAGATCGCACTTCACCAGGAGCACGACTATCTATGTCTCCAGCACCGAGGGCCGGCACCGACACACAGCACCGGAGCACAACAGTTGTTCCCCGGCACCGGACACAAGGCACCGGTCTCAGGACAGCTGGCACTGTGTGACGGGTTGGATCACAGAACCTCCCTTGGGAGCTGACAACTGATGTGCCAAGACTACTACTACCTGCTTTCCTGCCCCATCAGCTTAGGACTTCAGTGCCCTGCCTGGTTTGAGCCAGACCCACTAGCCTGCTGCAAACCCAGACCCAGGTCTGAATCACATCCCCTTACAGCTGTAGGCTTACCTGAAAGCAGCTAACAGAAGTGTGCTTGTCTTTAGCACTCAGATGCCCAACTCCCGATGGGGTCTAAACCCAAGTAAATCCATTTTACCCTGTATAAAGCCCAAGGCTAGGGTTTTTCCACCTCTAAAGCAAACCAAACCAGCCAGACTAAGAGGACTTCGGTCTCACCCCACTGGCTAACCACAAGGAATTCCCTTAGACACTCCAGTTTCCCAGTATCACTACCAGTGCCACTCGTTATGGGGATGAATGGTTATGAAAACCAGCACCCCAGTAAAAGAAAAAAGGTTCTCCTGATCCCATAGGACCAAGCCCCAGATCCAGGTCAATATACAAATCAGATCTTACTCACAAATCACGCTGTTGCCAATCCTTTAGAATCTAAAATCTAAAGGTTTATTCATAAAAGGAAAAAGATAAAGATGAGAGTTAGAATCGGTTAAATGGAATCAATTACATACAGTAATGGCAAAGTTCTTGGTTCAGGCTTGCAGCAGCGATAGAATAAACTGCAGGTTCAAATCAAGTCCCTGGAACAGCCCCAGCTGGGATGGGTCATCAGTTCTTTGTTCAGAGCTTCAGTTGTAGCAAAGTCCCTCCAGAGGTAAGAAGCCGGATTGAAGACCAAATGGAGATGAGGCATCAGCCTTATATAGTCTTTTCCAGGTGTAAGAACACCTCGTTGTCCTTACTGTGGAAAATTACAGCAAAACGGAGTCTGGAGTCACATGGGCTAGTTCCTGCATACTTTGCTGAGTCTCAAGGCATATTTGCCTTCTCTCAATGGGTCCATTGTATAATGGTCCTTAATGGGCCATCAAGCAGGCTAGGCAGAGCTAACACCAGCTTGTCTGGGATGTCACCCAGAAGCATAGCATAAGCTTGCAATACAGACAGTATAGAGCCAATATTCATAACTTCAACTACAAAACTGATATAGACAGCATAATCATAACCAGTAAGCCATAACCTTGTCTTAGATACCCCATTTGAACCCCTTTATACAAGATTTGGGTGCCACTACAGGACCTTGGTTGCAACAATGGTCTATATGGTCCCAGATTATATCAATAACGTCACACTCACCTTCTTGTAACTGTTGCTCTTCAGGATGTGTTGTTCACGTCCATTCCAATACCCACCCTCCTTCCTTCTATCGGAGTAGCCAGCAAGAAGGAACTGAAGGGGGAGTCACGTTGGCAGGGTCATATATTGGGCGCCACTCCAGGGAACTCCCTAGCCGACCCAAGGGGAGCAGCTAAGGGGAAAAGTTTCCGATGACCGTGCACGCAGCACACACACACCTGATTGGAATGGACGTGAA